CGAGACAGGGTTTCTCTGTGGCTTTGGAGCCTGTCCTGGAACTAGCTCTGTAGACCAGGCTGGTCTCGAACTCACAGAGATCCGCCTGCCTCTGCCTCCCGAGTGCTGGGATTAAAGGCGTGCGCCACCATCGCCCGGCCATACTCTGCTTTTATAGTATTTAGCAGTCTGATATTTGTGGTGTGTATAATACAGAAAGCATATATATAAGCAGATTAATATTAGGCATTAGGTTGAGCTTCAGCAGATGAGGCTATCTAGATTCTAGGGAGGCATTATATTTTAGGAATTATATTGATATTTGATATATAGATATTGTTATTTATCTTATAGTCATGTTGTTTAGTATGTACTCTATATATGGCCAAAATTGTGGAATACTTAAATATGTTTATTTAACCTAAGATGTTAGTAATGGATATAAAAATTACTAAAAATTTTGTTCTGTTTGTTTGTGTGATTGTGTGTATGTTGGGGTTGTGAGCCATGGTTGAGGATAGCTAGTTGGTAAAACTATTTTATAGTGTTAGAGCATTGTGAATGTTGAGTTGTTTGCAAACTATTGCTACTTCTTAAATAATAAAATTAATTGGTTACATGGGGGAGTGGATTCTTCACTTAATATGGTATAAAGATTTGATGTTGGTGAGATGGTCAATTTAGTCATTAGTTAAAAGCAGAGGTCAAAACATGAATCAGGGGTTGCAGTTATGGTTCAGCAATTAAGAGCACTTGTTACTCTTACAGAGAATCTGGGTTCAAGTCCCAACACCCACATGGTGGCTCACAATCATTCATAATTCCAGGTCTAGGGGACATGACAGGCATGCATGTCATTTACATACTTGAATGCAGGCAAAGCATCCATATACCTATCTAAAGTAAGATTTTAAAAAAAACCCTGAAAACCAAAAAATGCAAGAATGGCTAATATTTTAAAACAAAATAAAACATGAACTACTGCTGGATCTTATGTGGGAGGCATACATTGTTTTTTGAAGGTATTCCCCCACTAAAAGGTGGTGCTAGCCAGATACCATGCTCACATGTGTTCTTTGACTTTAAATTTTGATGGGCTCCTGAAGTGCTGGTTGAAATAGGAGTGTCTGTGAATTAATTAGATGTGTTCTAACCTTTGGTTTTTCTTTCTTCACTTTATATACCTCTAGTTAGTGTTGATGCTAATGTGGGACCAGAAGTGATTCAAAGAATTTTTTTTTTGGGGGGGGGCGGGTTTCGAGACAGGGTTTCTCTGTAGCTTTGGTGCCTGACCCGGAACTAGCTCTTGTAGACCAGGCTGGGTAGACCAGGCTGGCCTCGAACTCCCAGAGTTCCGCCTGCCTCTGCCTCCCGAGTGCTGGGATTAAAGGCGTGCGCCACCACCGCCCGGCCAAAGAAAATTTTTTTAGCAGGTGATCTGGCCTCCTTTTTTTTTTTTTTAAAGTTCATGTGTTTATTTTATATATGTACGTATGTTTGTATATGTTTGTTTTGGTGGTGTATGGGCTCACACCATGGCATGTGAGTTTAGAAGTCTAAGTCTAAGACAGTTGAAGGAGTTGATTCTTTCCTTTCTACTAAGTAGGTTCATGGGATTGTATTTAGGCCTTTGGGTTTGGTAGCTGTAAGCAGAGACCCAGATCCGAATAATCACACAAAAACTATATTAATTACAACACTGTTTGCCTTTACCTGCTGAATCATCTCCCAGGCTTAAGTTTCTGTACTCTTAGAGTTGACTGAAGGATTGCTAGGAAAGGTATAGGGAGTTTTGGCTAAAACCCAGACTAGATTCTTGGCTGAGACCCCAGTCCCCACTCTGACACCCCCCAGGAGTTGTGTTCTGACCATTTAGCCTCTTATACTAAGAAACAACAGTGACTGTATCTTATTAATAGGGAGGCTCTATTAACGTAGCTAATATTCAACTTCATATCTACAGTGGTGGAGTTTGGAAACCTGCTAACTAACCATTCTGTAAAACTGAAAGTGTGTTTTTTTTTTTTCTGTTTTCATGACCTTGACATTATTTACTGCTATCCAGTAAAACCATTAATGACTGTTTGCTAGGGTACCCTCTAATTGACTACAAAGATAGAAATAACTTCTCTTTGCTGCACAGAGTCACTGCTGCTGGGATTTCTTGCTGAATCAGCTGATAGAGGAAGCCAGAAAGATACACATTTGATAATGCATGGTTGTTCTAGGGCCAGCTTGTGTCTGTTTCTGTGACAGGGAAAGTGTGCATAGGGAGCTCTCTTACTCCTTTGGCTGGTCTGCAGTCAGCCTTCTTTCTGCATGTACCATCACATTCCAGTCTTTTGAGTAAAGCATGGCTTATTATTTCATGGCCTTAACTTTTTGTGTTGATTTTCTCTAGTCTGATGTCTAAATCAATCAACTGGTTTAGAAGTCAGCAGTAGAAATAAATACAGTGTTCACTAAAATACCAACAAAAATTTTTAGGCAGGAAAAAAGTGTTCAGCTCACAAAAACAAAAAACAGAACAAAAAAAATGTTCAGCTCAAAATCTGTAAACCTACAAACCCATTTTGATATCCCCCCCTCCCTGCCAAGACAGAGTTTCTCTGTGTATCCCTGGTTGTCCTGTAAAACCAGGCTGGCCTTCTCAGAGATCTACCTGCCTCTGCCTCCTGAGTGTTGAGATTAAAGATGTGTGCAATCCCCCTCCCAACTTTGATCTTTAGACTCATGCTTTAATACAATTTATCTGAAGTTGCACATGAGGGCACACACTTATAATCTCAACAAAAGATTTTGAGTTCTAGACCAACCTTGGTTCCGGAATGAGACCTTCTCCCTCTTCTTTTTAAAATAATTTATTTATTTTTATTTTATGTGCATTGGTGTTTTATGTGCATGTGAGGGTGATAGATCCCCTAAACAGGAGTTACAGACAGTTGTGAGCTGCCTTTTGGGTGCTGGGTATTGAACCCAGGTCCTTTGGAAGAGCTTTCAGTGCTTTTAACCACTGAGCTGTCTTTCCAGCCAGTTTTTTTTTTTAACACCTGGAAGTCTATATGGACCAGGCTGGCCTCTGCGGAAACCCTCTCTTAAAATAAACAAACCATTCAACTTGTTTCTCAACTTTGTTTACCTTTTTTGTTTGTTTAATTGTTTTGATATGGGGGCCTCACTATGTAACCCTGACAGGTCTGGAACTCTTTGTTGACCAGAATGCCTCCAAGTCACGAGATTTGTCATTCTCTGCCTTCTGAATGCTGGGATTAAAGGACTAACCATGCCTAACTTTGAAATATTTTATTATTTTATGTGTTGGGTTGTTTGGTATGCATGTATGTCTGTGAACTTGTGTGCAGTATCAACAGAGGCCAGATGAGGGTATCGGATCCTTGAACTAAAACTGTTGTCTGGAGTTAGAGGGTTGTAAGCTACCACGTGGGTGGTAGGAATCAAACCTGGGTCCTCAGGAAGAACAACCAGTGCTCTTAACCATTGAGTCATTTCTCTAATTCCTCCCCCAATTTTTAAACTTACATTTATTGTTACTAAAGAGGTGATTTAGCTGTTAAGAACTGGCTGCAATTATAGAGGACCTAGTTCAGTTCTCAGCACCTGTATTTGTTTATCACTACAGTTCTCTTTTCTGGCCTCTGGATCCTTCCCCACCCCCATACACATACCTACAAATTATATTAATTCATCATTCACATGCATGCTCTGCACACGTGGGGAGAATAGAGGACAGACAACTTTAGGAGTAGTCTCTCTTCCACCATGTAGGTCCTAGGACTGGAACTCTAGTCCCCAGGCTTGGCAGCAAGTGTCTTTACTTGCTAAGTCATCTCACTAGCCCTATTTGAAAATTTAAAAAGGATAGTAACACTTTGGGGAGAAGATACTTAGTAAATAAGCTGCTTTCTAGCCCGCTGGTGGTGGTAGGGGCGCATGCCTTTAATCCCAACACTTGGGAGGCAGAGGCAGGTGGATCTCTGTGAGTTCGACACCATCCTGGTCTACAAGAGCTAGGTTCCAGGACAGGCTCCAAAGCTACAGAGAAACCCTGTCTCAAAAAACCAACAAAACGAAACAAAAACCGCCTGCTTTCTTTTTTATTCATAGAAAACAGGTATAATCAAAACTTGATTTTACATTTTCTAGAGTCCTAAGTGAAAGTGTTTGCCCTTCTTGCTTTGACTTTGACTCAGTATGTCAGAATTGTTGCTTCCTAGGGCTCCTGTTTGTCCATAGCAAGGTGAGGTGTCCCTGTGGCTTTCTGCCAGTCTGTGAAGTGTAACTATTAAAGATGATTATAGTTTCTATGACCAAAGCAGCAAAGCTTGTAAGCCTCATGCCTCATGTTTTAAATGTGTTTCTGCTCTCACATTACGCATAGTCTTCAACAAAACTGGTGGAATGTACACATTTCCCATTCTATGCACTGACATCTTTTGTTTGATGTTTAAACCGTGTGAATAACACAAGTTGTTGTTTACTTTCCAGAATACTTTCTAAGGTTATGAGGTTGGTATAAATTAAAGGTAATTAATGTTTGCATCAGTGGCTAGGATACCGTATGATTAAAATTGTATTTTTAAGAGCTGGGGATATATATTAGTGGTCTGGTGTTTACCTTACATGTGTAAGGCCTTGGGTTTAAATTCCCAGATAGGACAAAAAGAGAGGGATTTTTCTTTTTAGATAGGGTGTTATATCTAATCTGTGCTGAGTAGATGATGTGTGTAATTTTAATGTAGAAATAGATGAAATAGATTTCAATTGATTGATCATAGACATAAGGTATTCAGTACTATACCTCTTTAAAATCTTTGGTTGTATTTATTTTGAACTCAAATGTCCTTTTATTAAAAGCATGTTGGTTATCTGAATGTGCTTGCCTTCATCCAGCTTTTTTTTTTTTTTTTGTCTTTTCAGTTGTCCTTATTGGAGATTCTGGTGTTGGAAAGAGTAATCTCCTGTCTCGATTTACTCGGAATGAGTTCAATCTGGAAAGCAAGAGTACCATTGGAGTAGAGTTTGCAACAAGAAGCATCCAGGTTGATGGGAAAACAATAAAGGCACAGATATGGGACACGGCAGGGCAGGAGCGGTACAGGGCTATAACATCTGCGTAAGTTCATGGTTTCTCAGTTCTGGCATACGTTGGTATCAGTGACTTGCTAGCTTTAAGTATTGTGAAGGTACAGTAGTCCTCCCTTAACCTTGGAAGGTGTGTTCCCAGACCCTCCATAGATGCCTGCAATCACAAATAGTACTGAGCCCTGAATGCTTCCAATTGTGCTTTGTTCTTTTCTTTTTTTTTTTCAATTTTATTTTTATTCATGTTTTGCCTATATATGTGTATGTGTACTGCATGCATGCTTGGTGCCTGTGGAGGTAAGAAGATGGTAAGAAGATCCCCTGAAAGCTGTTATAGGTGGTTATGAACCACCATGTGCGTGCTGGAAAACAAACCTAGGTTCTTTGCAAGAGCAGCCAGTGCTCTTAACTGCTGGGCCATCTCTCCAGCCCTCTGTATCTTTCCTCTTAATAGATCCTTTGTAGCTTTTCTTTGGCATGCTCTAGTTGCTTTTGGGGGCCATTATTCAATAAACCAAGGGTCACTTGAACATAGGGAAGACGATAGATAGTGGGAGGGCTAGAAAGAGACTTTAACAGGCAGGTAGATTACACAGTGTGGGTACATTGGACAAAGGGTTGTCATGTGCTGGCCTGGATGAAGGAACACTGAGAAGTTTCATCATAGTACTTAAAATGGTGGCAGTTTAAAGCTTATGAATTATTTATTTTTGGAATTTTCCATTTAATATTTTTGGTTTATGGCTGACTAGGTATAAAAAGCCTCAAAGGAACAACTACTGTCTACCACATCTATAGATAGTATGTGTGTGTGTCTCCATGTGTCCATGCATGTGTGTGTGAGTGTATGTAAATGTGCATGTATGTGTATTATTATGTATATAGAGGTTAAAGGACAACCTTTGGTGCTGGTCCTCACCTTCTACCTTGTTTGAGACATGCAGTATTTGTTGCTCACTGCTGTTTATGCCAGGCTATCTGGCATGTGAACTTCTGGAGATTATCCTGTTTCAGCCCCCTTCTCACTGTAGGAGGATCAGGTTTGCTGTCCTTAGCTTTTACATGGGTTCTGGATTCTCTGCTTAGATGGCAAGTGCTTTACCAGAGCTGTCTCCCTGCCCTATACCGTCCCTGTTTTGAGTTTTTTCTGGTGTTCCCTTCTACTTTGTGATTGTCTTCTGATAGTTACAAATGTTTCTGTTTGCAGATACTATCGTGGAGCAGTAGGTGCCTTATTGGTTTATGACATTGCTAAGCATCTCACATATGAAAATGTAGAGCGATGGCTGAAAGAACTGAGAGATCATGCTGATAGCAACATTGTTATCATGCTTGTGGGCAATAAGAGTGATTTACGCCATCTCAGGGCAGTTCCTACAGATGAAGCAAGAGCTTTTGCAGGTTAGTAATGTGAGCTCCACAATAATACATGCTTCTGCATTTCTCTGTTTGAACATTGCACCTCTATTCTTTAGCAAGACCTTTCTATGTGAGTCTGAAAAGTAGTATGCCAAGGAGTATCAGGGACCGACAAGGATGCACCCATCTACTTAGAAGCTGAACACTTTGGGCTTCATATAGGATCTGCTTGTTTCTTGCTTCTCTTCTGATAATTTATTGAAGTATAAGTAGAACAGTGTTCTTACTACCCCAGGAGTTGGTATGGTCTAAGGGTTTGTTTGTTTGATGTTTTAGGAAACTTTCTCATGTAGTCCAGGCTGGTCTTGAATTCCTGGTCCTGCTTCTACCTCTCAAGTGCTGGTTGGTAGGTATGCACCACCATGGCCAGCTAGGTCTTACTCAGTCTTTTATCTTCCCCTTGTGATTATGAGCTTATCACATCTGCTGCTTGTGTGATACCTTGAGGGGGCGGTAACTCAGTGGTAGAGGACTCACCTAGCATTGATGAGGCCCTTGATTTGGTCATCAGCACTATTATAAAGCAATCAAATTTTACAAGATTGAAAATTTTGTTTCTCTCCACAGAGAAGAATGGTTTGTCATTCATTGAGACATCTGCTCTAGATTCTACAAATGTTGAAGCTGCTTTTCAGACAATTCTAACAGGTAAGACATGTGTTTTCAGGTTACACCAGAGAAAACTGGAGTTTTAGGAAGTGATTTAAACAAATTAATTAGGAAACTGTTAAGCCATCTGAAAATGACTATCGTTTAAGAGCCACTGTAGCCAAGAGTTCCTTGGGAGCACAGTTACAATTCTTTCATGTTGTACTTCAGTCACTGGGTTCGTGTGGGAATAAATTCTTTGAAAATAATTTTGTCACTTGTGTTCAGGCCATGTATTCTATATTTCATGGTCAAAGGGACAGAGTTGTGTGTTCTTTCTTGAAATGCACTTTAATAAGGTAAATACTAAGGTACTGACTACAGAGTGATATAAATAAATGCCTTTTGAAATTAAATAAAAATCTGGCTGGACAGATGACTCAAAATTTAAGGATACTTAGTGATTTTCAGAGCACCTGAGTTGTGTTTCCAGCACCCATATGGGGTAACTCATTGTTACAGGAGAAGTGGGCTGCTTGTTGTCCCTGCCACCTGGCTAGCTTAACCCCGAAATAATCACACAGAAACTGTATTCATTTAAACACTGCCTGGCCCATTAGCTCTAACTTCTTATTGGCTAACTCTTATGTCTTGATTTAACCCATTTCTATTAAATCTGTGTATTGCCACATGATCGTGGCTTAGGCAAGATTCTAACCAGCATCCGTCTCAGGCAGGAGCTCTATGGCATCTGCCTGTCTCTGCTTTCGTCCTGGAAGAATTCAGTTCTGTCTGCTCCGCCTACCTATGTGTTTCCCTACCAAGAGGCCAAGGCAGTTTCTTTGTTCAACCAATGAAAGCAACACATAGACAGAAGAACATCTTACACTAACTCACAACTGCCTTTAACTCTAGCTTTAGGGGATCCGATGTTGGTACCTGCATGCATGTGACAGACAGACACACACATTAAAAAAAGAAGAAGAATTTAGAAAAAAAAAACTAGGGAAAGTACATCAAAAAAATTTAAGTGGAATTAAAGAAAGCACTGATGCTTTTTCCATGATGTAGGAGTGTGTCCCTTATAAATAAAATCAGCCAAGCCTGCATATATATAGAAAGGCTTAAAGGGGCAAAGTTCATGCTATTTTGAATGTGGATAACCAGTCAGCTTCTTGGAAAAAAAGACATTTTATTTGTTCTGACTAATACTTACTTTGACTTTATTAGAATAACCAAGTTATCAGTGCATTTACTTTACTAGGAAGTATTTTCATAGGTTTTTCAAGACACCTATATTGTGTGTTACTTTTAAGATCTTATGAATCCAAATTTATTCAACATAGTTGAGTCATATGTGCTATTCTGATAAATTGATAGAATTGTTTAGTTTCCTATCATAATGGACAAATTTTAATGCTGATGTCACACATGTGTTAGAGGAGAGCAGAATTTTAACTTCAAAATATTCTCTTATTGTTAAAAAAATGTATGTAATAAACTTAGGAATTTAGATCGTGGATTGGAAAGCCTGATTCCTCCACTTATTTTTGGAGCTATAATCTTATTAGGCCAATTACTTACTAATTCCAAGGCTTTAATTTTCTCATTTGTAAAATTCAGATGTGTTGGGCTGGAGAAATGGCTCAGTATTTTTGAAATCACACTGTTCTTCCAGAGGCCCAGATTTTGGTTCCCAGCACTCATACCAGGCTACTTAAAACCACCGGTAACTCCAGCTCCAGGGAATCTTACACCCTCTTCTGTTCTCTGAGAGTGCCTGCATATTCATGAGCATGAACACAAATGTAGACATACACATATTTTAAAATAAACTAAAAAAAGTTTCAAATACATTTTGATTAGTTATTTTCTTCATGAGAGAGCTTGTACTTTTAAATTTCTACAGTATGATTTAATATGGCTGCCTAATGGATTTGTTGTTTGTTTGTTTTTGCTCCACAGAAGAGAATGATTTGTCACTCATACTTCTGCTATAGTTTACAAAAATGAGTTAATGGTTAATGTCTGTCAAGGGCTTAGCTATTCCTGGTAAATAGTGAAATTTGATAAATCAGTACCTAAGTGGAAATTAAAGCATGAAAAAAAAACTTGTTAAAATAATATAAATATTGGAGATTTTCCATCTATTCTTTCTTTCTGTCTCTATCTATCTATCTATCTATCTATCTATCTATCTATCTATCTATCTATCTACCTACCTACCTACCTACCTACCTACCTACCTACCTACCTACCTATCAATCACAGCAGGATTTCGCTATGTAGCTCTGGCTGTCCTGGAACTTATTTTGTAGACCAAGCTGGCCTCAAACTCAGAGATCCACCTGCCTCTGCCTGAAGAGTGCTGGATTAAAGGCGCGTTGCATCATATCATAAAATTGGTTTTTGTTATCTGAAGAAAAATCAATAGGGAGCTGGAGGGGAATAGACAGTTTGTGGCACATAGCAGCTCTTTTCATATTTTTTTAAAAATCTGTTCTGAGTGATCTCACTGCAGATTTTTTTAAGCTTGCAGTATTTTAATGAATACACAGTATGCCTTCAAGTCCTACTTGCTTTGTCTTTGTTTTTCCAGCATGTAGGCCAGGCTAGCCTTGAACTTTCAGAGATCAACCTGTCTCTGCCTTGGAAGTGCTGAGATTAAAGGCATGTGATACTATGCCTGGCTTAATTTTTAACGTTTTAAAAATTAAATCTTATTTATTCATTCAAAATATCAGGGGTGGGGTCATAGTGTTCATGTGGTGGTCAGAGGACAGCTCCTTACAGCATTTGGGTCATCAGGGTTGATGACAGGAGCCTTTATCCACTGAGCCAAATGTAAAATTACATAGTATTGGTAATGTTTTGTAATAGATCTTCACTTTATTTACATCCTTTAGTCCTCAGTGGTTCCAAGAGTTTTCTGGTGGTGCTTTTAGTAGTTGACTAGTGCCAAGGTGGGCTGGTGGATTGCTCCACTCCTGCTTTTTAGATTAGTAAACCTCAAGTTTACTAGGAGATTGGGTTGGAGAGGGGCATGCTGCTAGGGATCCAACTCTGTCTTTAGCATGCCATGTAAGCACTATACCAACTGAGCTTCATCCCTAAGAGAGGTTTTTAACCACTGTTTTTCATACCCTCTTTTTATTTTAATAATTTCAGAGGTGATTAAAACTTACAATAATGTTATAAAGAATTTGTGAGTACCTGTACCCTATTTTCTTAAGTGTAGTCTTTTCTTTCCATTCACCTGTTCCCTTCTCTCTCCCCTACAGATAGACACACACACACAGACACACACACAGACACACAAAGACACAGACACACACACAGAGAGACACATAGACACACAGACACACACACAGACACACAAAGACACAGACACACACAGACACACACACAGACACACAAAGACACAGACACACACACACAGAGACACATAGACACACAGACACAAACACAGATACACACACAGAAACACACATACACAGACACACATGACACTGACACATACATATATATACAGCACCATGTGAAAGTAAGTGCTACATATACCTTTTCCTAAGTCTTTTTTTTTTTTTAAATATTTACTAAACACGAGCACTTTCTCTTTTATAACCACAACACTGTGACTTAATCACATCAGTATTTAGGTACAGACCTTACTCATTCTGCCAGTTGTTCCAATAAAGACTTTGTTAGTTAAAATAAGTCTGGGATCAGATCATATGTTCCATTCAGCTGATCTGTCACTGCATGGCAATCGTTCCTTCAGTTTCCCTTTATTTACCAACCTTAGTATGTTTGAAAGGTACAGGCCATTGTCATTTTCTCAGTTTGAGTTTACTCAATGTTTCTTTATGATTAAACTGAAGTGTACAGCTTGCGGCAGGAACACCACACAGGTGGTTTCAGGTCATCATTTAGGAAGCTCCTGACAATAGGTTTGTTTTCCTCATTATTGGTAGCTTTAACTTTGACCTTTAGTTCAGGTGCTCTTAGGTTTCTCCATATAATTAGTAAGTTCAAAGTAAATTTCTAATTTGAAGACTAAACTCTTAATTCTGTAGCTGAAATAGCTTTAATACATGTAACATACTGGCTCTTTAAAACACAGCTAAAGCCAGTTTGGTGGTGCATACCTATAATCTCAGCCCGTGGGTGGAGATTTATGTGTGTGAGGTCATCCTGGGCCGTATAACATATAAAATAAAAATGAAGGGGCTAAAGTCGCCAGGTGTTAACTTTATCAGAATATTAAGAATTGTTGAAGAGTTTCTAAATTCTACTTTACTTTTGTGTGCATATATGTGAATATGTATCTGGGCACAAGAGTTGAGGTCCGAGGACAAGTGTAGGAGTCAGTTCAGTTCTTTCCTTCTACCATATGGTTCCCAGGAATGAAATGTGGATCTCTTTACTCATCTTGCCAGCCAAATACTGGTTCTCTTTCCATTAGAGCTAATGGTAACTTTGTTCTCACTTGGTGCAGAAAATGTTGGACTATCAAATTGGAATGTTTTTTGACCTTCAAGAACTGTATGTGATGAGCAGGGGTTTGAAGAGCTTAATAAATGAGAAGCTTTTGAAGAGGCTGTCATGAAATTACCGTGGCTCCTGAGCTTTAAAAAACTTTGGAGGAACTAAAGAATTTTTTTAATTTATTTTATGTGTAGGTACACCTAAGTGTATGTATGTGTACCACATGGCTAAGGAGATCAGAAGAGGGTGTCAGATCCTCTGGAACTGCAGGTGGTTGTGAGCTGCCTTGTGAGTGCTTGAAACAACAGAGTCCTCTGCAAGACCCATCAGTGCTCTTAACTTCTGAGCCATCTCTTCAGCACCTATGAAACTAACAAATTTTAAGCTTCTTGTTCCTTAATTTGGAACAATTGTGTGTAATCTCTCTAGAATTATTTTGCCAGCTGTTCCACAGGTCCCATAGATTAAAAAAAAAAAAAAGACTGTTTTTTTTTTTTGCCTTATTTAAAGCTATAATATATTATTTATTTCATTTTATGTTTAGATATCCTATAAGAAATTCTGATGGAAGATGAAACAGGATTGCTTTTTTCTAGTTGTTCCTAACCTTTGGACATTTTGTTTGTTTGTTTTTTGAGACAGGGTTTCTCTGTAGCTTTGGAGCCTGTCCTGGAACCTCGCTTTTATAAGACCAGGCTGGCCTTGAATTTACAGAGATCCACCTGCCTCTGCCTCCCGATTGCTGGGATTAAAGGCATGTGCCACCAGGCCCTTTGGACATCTTGAAAAGGAACTGCATGGGAATAAGTAATCACATTCATTTTGTTCTAAAGGAGAACAGACCCTTGAGGAAAGTGTAGAACCTGCTTCTGTCTTAGCATGTTACTGACCCCTCCCCCACCATGAACTAAGCCTTTATAAATCAGATCTCTGCTGGACAGTTACTGGTTACTATTTCCTCTCTTCTCTTCTCTCTTCTCTCCTCTCTTCTCCCCTATTCCCCCCTCCTCTCTCTTCCCCCTCCCTCTCTCTCTCCCCCTTTCTCCCTCCCTTCTTTCTTTCCTTTTTTCCTCTTTGTTTTTCAAGACAGGGTTTCTCCGTAGACACACCCAACACAAGAGACTTAAAGTAAATTACTTGTGGAGCTCTTTAGAAGTCTTTAGACCTGAATTTTTCACCTAATTCCTTTTATGTATTGTCTTGTTGGTATTTTTCAAAAGCGGATATGTTTTTAGTGACAGGAGTAAACGCAGCAGCAGCACCTACTGTTTCTGGAAGAATGGAGCACTTGGAGACTGTTGCACAACACTGATCAAGTTTCTTGCTTTGTGATGGGCTCTCTTTAATTATTTACCTCTGTCCTCTAAGAAGTCTCCCTTTGTCTCTCTTCTGGTGTATGCATTTGTATTTTATGGAGGAGTTTCTGATGTTTTGGTTTTGTTCCCCTAACTTAATCTTCAGAACAGCTTGTAAAGAAGTTAAATTTTAACAGGGGTCACATATTTAATGATTTTCTCTTCAAAAAAACATGATCTATCCAGTTAGGTATTATTAGTGGACAACATAAAGAACGAATGGTATAGTTTAACCACAAGTTGATGATTATTATTCCTTAGTCACTAGCCTGAAGGGAACTCTTTTCCCTGGACACATTCCCATTCCATTCTTTTTTTCTCTTCCCTCCCTCTTTTTCTCCCTCCCTCCTCCCTCCTACCACAACCTAAACCCCTTCTTTGAGATAGCGTATCATTGTGTAGCTCTGGTTGATTGGGTTGGTCTCAGACTCACAGGGATTCACCTACTTTTTGCCTCTTTGCCTCTGCCTCTCAGACACTGAGATTAAAGATGTGTATGGCACCACATCTGGCTTTTTTCTTTTAAAGCAATTTTAAAAGTATTCATTTATTTTGTGTCATGGTGAAGCTCATTGAATCCCACAGTGCGAGAGTGAAGGTCAGAAGACAACCTTCAGGAGTTAGGCTTTCTCCTTTTAATATACAGCTTCTGGGGATTGTACTGAAGTTGTCAGAGTTAGGGACAAGTGTCTTTATCCACTGGGCCATCTCACTGCCCATCCCTATCTCCTCTCAGTGAAAGATCTGGCAGCATCACTTTAATCAATAGCTTGTCTCTATTGCCTTCTTTCTTTACTGATACTTCCACTCCCAACCTTCTCAGACAAATTTTAGCTACTTCCCTAAAAAATTATACAAAAAGTTACATTTTTGGTGCTTTTGTTACCTGTCTCTGTGTGTGTATTGAGTGTATGCCCCATGTATGGGGGTGATGAAAGAGGCAGGAAGAGGAAGTCAGGTGCTCCCATAGCTGGGATTAGAACCAGTTGTGAGCTACTTGACATGGGTGCTGGTAATTGAACTCAGGTCCTCTGGAAGAGCAGTGGGTTCTCTTAACCACTGAGCCATGACTCCAGCCTCATTTATTAAGTTACTGTTGCTCAACCTTAGGGGAATTTTTTTCTAAATTTACTTATTTTTAATTTATGTGTATGAGTGCTTTCCTTTATGGATGTGTGTGCACCACATGTGTGCCTCATGTTTATGGAGGCTAGAAAGGGGCTTTGAATCCTGTGGAACTGCAGTTACAGATGGTTGTTAGCCACCATGTGAGTGCTGAGAACTAAACTCAGGTTCTGCAAGAGCAGTAAGTATGCTTTAACTGCTGTGCCATCTTTTTAGCACCAAAAAAAAAAAAAAAAAAATGATTCATCTCTTGTTGTATGACTTCTAGCTTACCTAAAGCAGAATAGATTACACTAGTCTATTTTAGTAACCACCAGTGTTGGTTCCTGACCTGTGACCTTTTTTATTACTTTTAAATAAATCCCAGATAATAAGTCATTTTATTTTCCAAATATTTTAGAATATGTTTCAAAAATGGAATTTAGGGGCTGGAGAGATGGCCCAGAGGTTAAGAACACTGATTGTTCTTCCAGAGGTTCTGAGTTCAATTCCCAGCAACCACATGGTGGCTCACAATCATCTGTAATGAGGTCTGGTGTCCTCTTCTGGCCTGCAGGTATACATGCAGACAGAACACTATATACAAAATAAATAAATCTTTAAAAAAGGAATTTAAATTTATAATACAACCCCTAGAAAATTTGTAGTAATTTCTTATTACCACCGGTTATTTAAACGATATCAAACATACTTAACCATTTTTTAAAATTACAATTTAAATTAGGAATCCAGATAATGTTTATACATTATAGCTGGTTGATGTGTTTTTGGAACTTGTTTTGAGAAGGATCTCTCTCTACATAGCCCTGGCTGTCCTGGAACTCACTATGTTGACCAAACTGGCCTTGTAACTCACAGACAGACATTCACCTGCCTCTGTCCCCCAAGTGCTGAGATTAAAGGCATGTGCCACCACACCCAACCTTTTTGGACCATTTTGATCATCTCTTTATCTCTGTTTTCCCCAGGAAGGGTTTCTCTGAGTAAAAACTCTGGCTGTCCTGGAACTAGCTCTGTAGACCAGGCTGGCCTCAAACTCGGAGATCCACCTGCCTCTGCCTCCTAAGTGCTGGGATTAAAGGCGTGTGCCACCACTATTTGTCTTTGAATATATATCTCTTTCTATTTTTTTACTGTGTAACTTTATACTTTTAAAGTGTAAACGTTTTATTTCATATGAACAAGGCATGATTCTAAATAGTCACAGACTGTAGGTCTAAAAGATTTATTATGTCTATAATATTTCTAGTGTGCAGTTCTTATTCAGATTTTCCCAAGTTTTTAAATACTATCCTTTATAGAATTGCCTTTTGTTGTTTTTAATGACAAGGTCTTACTATGTTGCCCTGACTGACCTGGTTACTTACTGTGTTGACCAGGCTAGCATTGAATTCACAAAAATCTGCCTGTCTCTGTCTTCTGAGTGTTGGGATTAAAGGCTTGTGCCCTTATGCTTAACCATGGATTTTAATTACTACTGTATTGGTAGCAGAAATAGAAAGCTTAAACTCATCTGATTCTGTATCTGTCCTATTTCTGCATAAACAAATTCACCAAGAGCAGTTTTGCCATCGACACATGGAGCCCATGTAGGAGTACATTGTGTCCTTCCTAGTACATAATATTGGATTGCCTATTTCTAGAGTTTCCCTACTTTGTGATGGTGTTTCTTTAAAAAGGCCATTGGAGAGGCAAGATGGAGGTCTGTGTTTGTTGTTCTTGAGAAGAATATTGTTGTTTGATTAGGTAGTGTAGTGCAAGGCCACTTTCAATGAGTTCAGTACAGATACTGGGGGCATTCACTGATATTGAGTAGTTCCTTAAGCCTCTACTCTGTGGAACTAAAGCAACAAATGAAGCAAATATTTTAGTCTTTAAAAGATTGTTTGGTGAGGACTACAAGGTTAATCTTGATATATGCCATGAAAGTAAAATAGTACGTGTATGTTAGATTATCTCCTTGAAATAATTTAGCCTTAGCCCCAGAGGAGGACAGTGTAAGTAGAGTCCTTTTCTTTTTTGAGGCTCTTGAGATTTTAGTATGGTTGAGAAATTGTGTTCTCTTCTGTAGAGCCTAGAAAACAGTTAGGTATATGTGATAGTACAGATTTATTTTACACATTGTCAGTTTGTGTGAACTTTTTTTTGGAGGGCTAGTATATATTTTATGATTTAATTCAGATTTATGCCCATAAATATGGCACTGTTTAATGGGTGAACTTTCCCCTCTAAAGTGGAGAAACCTTGTTACTCCTCTTACTGTAACAGAAATTGTTTTTTTTAAAAAAATGCTTTGAATCTAGTTAGTGGCTATTTGAAAGTAAAATCTTACTTTTTGAGATAAGGTCTTCTGTAGCCAGCCTGTCCTTGAACTTACTATGTAAGTTTGGTCCTTTACTCCACCTCCCAAGTGTTGGGATCACAGATGTGCACTACCATGCCTGGCCTAAAAATAAAAATGTAAATGTGTATGTTTTCTGTTCTGCATATCTTCCGTCTCTTTCACACAAACTCTTCTTGGTTTTACACACACTAAGTGTTTCTGTTTCTTTTGTCATTCAGAGATATACCGTATTGTTTCTCAGAAGCAAATGTCAGACAGACGTGAAAATGACATGTCTCCAAGCAACAATGTGGTTCCTATTCATGTTCCACCTACCACTGAAAACAAGCCAAAGGTGCAGTGCTGTCAGAACATCTAAGGCGTCTCTCTTCCCCTAGAAGGCTGTGTATAGTCCATTTCCCAGGTCTGAGATTTAAATATATTTGTAATTCTTGTGGTCACTTTCTGTGTTTTATTACTTCCTCACACTTAAGAATCTTCTCATGTCTTAAGTCTTTTAATTTTGGCTTTATAAAATCATCAACTTTGTCCTGAATGACTGCAGTTCTTTTTCATGCTATGGCTTCTGTAGCCTTAGTTTAATAAACTGAATGTTTGAATTCCTCATTATTGTTTACTCTTCATCATGGAAGCCTGTCACTGTAGAACATAATAGAACTTGATCACTTGAAGCTCAGACCTATTGGTCCTGATTGAATCTAAGACAACCTTAGAAATAAGCTATTATTTTGCCACAGAGCAGCTTGTAAGACACTCTTCTCAATGCAGTACATATTTGACAGACCTAAGCATTGCCCTATAAGCATAACAGCATTTTGAGAGCTTGAAGATTTTCCATCGTGAAAGTCAATTTCTAAAATGCCTTAATAGGTCTATGTTGTAAATTTTTTTCTTTAGTTTTTGTAAGCATCCAAGACGATGGGGATTCTTTTTTTCTGGAAAAGAATTATCTTAATAAACACAAAGGACTATTTTATTTTGTGTAGGGCATCATGGTTATGGGGTCGCAAGTTAACCTGCTGCCTGGCAGGCTAGTGGACTTCTGTCTGAGATGTCTTTGTTGCAGTGATTGGCAGCCTGAGTAGCTTAACCAGTCTCATTTCCCAGAAGTAGAATGTCTGGTGTTTTTATTGCTCATGCAGTAACTAGCTTAATGCTAGTAATACCATATTTTGAAGTGTGAATTTTGTGTTTAAACCCTTCTAGTAAGTGAAATGCAGCCTAATTTTATCACTGTATTCACTAACAAGCATGGGCAATTATTTTAACAATGCTTTTGAGTTCTACAGTGTATTATAGAATATAGTTCAGTTAAACCTTTGGTTTTAGTATGTCTAAAGAATACAGTGAGAGGTTAATTTATGCTCAAGTGGTACCAATTAAAGGCATGTGTTCTTTTAGTATGAAAATGAAATAGTACCTTGAATTTAAGTAGAATGCACTTAGGCATTGTAGGTAGAGTTCTGAAATAGGTTTTTCCACTACATAATTGAAATTAATGGAGCAGCTAGTTTCTCATTCAGAAATGTACACACTAATACTTAGTTTTACTTCCTTGTGGATAATATTAAGCACTTACTCTGCAGTTTTCTGAAAGTTAACTGCAAAGATATTGTTCAGGATGGTGGGATACCTGCAAAAAAAAATGTGTGGGCTTGCATAGATGACTATGTTTCATGGTTAATCTGGTTTTTGCAGTGCTCATGATGTGTGGGGAGCACAGAAGGCATTGCTGTAGTCAGTCATTTTGTTTTTCTTTTGTAGCTGTTTGTTATTTTAGTGTATTGATTATAAAGATGTTGTCTATTTATAAATTGCTACTTTGTATTTTATGCATGCTCTGTAATTTGATTTTTTTTCTTTTTTTAGTTATTGATTTGGAGTATATTCTCATCCTAATAAACAGTTATAGGGGGACTATTCCCAGTGTTGTCAGATTATATTTTTCTTCTGAATGCTTTGGATGTAGCCATGGAATACTGCTTCCGATGAGTGAGAACAGAGATCCTTGCAGTGCTGAGTAAACTGGAATTGGGGGTAACAGTGTCAATTCAGGTGAGATTTTAGATCTGCAGTTCAATTGTCCTTTTCTTGGGAAGGGTTACTAGGAGCAGTGGTGACACAGTTTCTGTACTTTTCTGTCTAACAGTGCCACTAGACACAGAAAGAGGTTCCATCTCTGTTTATTAAAAATTTGCAGAAGATTTATGAAATAAAACTAAGAAAAAAATTATGTAGTGAATCAAAAATGACTGAGGATAGCTTTTACATTTCTTTTAACTAAGAATAGATTTAAATGCACTTAGATATGGTTGGGTTTTGGGAGAGTTCCAAGCAACATTAGGTATTAGAAAATTTGCATGTCAACAAGAACTTCATGTTGAGTTGGACTTCAGGAGACAAACTGTCCTGAGTAGGAAGCATTACAGTCTTATTTATTAGGATAACTCTAAGCTCAAGGCAGTTCCTAAGTACTTTTGTGCTTGACCTTGTTTCTCATTAGCTTTTTTTGGGTTTTTGTTTTGTTTTGTTTTTTGGTTTTTTGAGACAGGGTTTCTCTGTATCTTTGGAGCATGTCCTGGAACTAGCTTTTGTAGACCAGGCTGGCCTTAAACTCACAGAGATCCGTCTGCCTCTGCCTCCCAAGTGCTGGGATTAAAGGCGTGCGCCACCACCACCCGGCGCTTTTCATTAGTTTAACTTTAGATGTTTTTCTTAACCTGTTAAATCTCCTGAAAAGCCAGTTACTTATTAGACCTTGTCTTTGTTATTTTGAAAATTCTGTCTTATAGTTGTCACTATGTCAGTGTAAGTTATCGTTAGCCACTCCACTGAGCATGTTAAATTGGAATTGTAAGCAGAGGTTTCAGTCAGTGTTCTTTGCCTTTGGCTTTTTAAATTCTGAAGAGTTCTGCAGAAAAGTTTAACCCATAAAAGTTTGAGTCATGCATCTGGACTAGTCTTACTTTTTGGTGTTAGGAAAATGATTATTTTATTTTTTTGTCATTTCTGACTTGTGTTTATATAATCCCAATACTCTCAGTGGTTAGAGCTGTTGTGGTGATTAATCTCTTTAATCTATTATAAAAAAAAAGGATACACTATTTAGATGGTTTGGGTTAACATGAGAAGCAGAAAAGGTAGGCGAATAATTAAGAATTTATTACTGTTAGTTTTAAGTTTATAGAGTTTTGGAAAATGTTATTAACTAAAGAGAAATGGATTATACCCTGAAGAAAATTCAAAACTGCTAGTCATACTTTTTATGGCAGCACTCAGGTAAAGCAGGAGGTCCACCTGGTCTATATACCTAAGTTGCAGACATCCAGAGTCACACAAGGGAACACTATCTTAAAACAAAAACAGAATAAAATGTGGCTTTTGTTTAGAGTGTACATGACCTCCATTTGCTGTGCTACAGAAAAGGACACAGACTATGACAGGAGCCACCTCCACATGGCTCGTTGGGCTATCGACCTGTCAGATAGGGTGCTCTGATGCTATGCCAGAGAGAGAAAGCAACCCGAGCTTTCTCCTGGTTGGAGCAGTACTGGGGCTGTAGTCCTTTTAAGGATTGAATATATCCCCAATAAAACAAAGTTGCCAGCCTGACATTTTAAAGAGTGGTTGTGTTTTTTTATATTGTAGGAGGCTGATAAAATGACACAGTATGCTATTCACATTGACAGACTCTTAGCTCAGAGATCACTTTACTAACAGTATCCATTTCCCTAGAAATTGGAGAATAGAATGTTTGCAAGGATGTTGTATTCCAGGCAAGTATTAAAAAATTTGCTGCATTATACATAAGTTAGAAGATTGAACTAATGGGTCTAGCACGGCAGTCAGCTGCTTGGAAAAGACAGATTATAGTCATAGTTCTTGTCTATTTCATCTGTTGTTAGTTCAGATTCTTTGAAGTAATGATGTGACTGAAGTAGATCATTTCTGGGTTGTGTGTAGGTATTAAAATCAAACTGAAATCTTAAATTTAAAAGATAAGTAAAATATCAGGTAAGTACTTTGAAAAAATGGTTTTGGTCTTAATATCTTGACTAAAATCATCTATCACCATGTTAATTCTCATTAAGTAAAAGTTTTTAGGATATTTGAAAAATGTCAGTTTTATCAATGTGTGTCAAGATACTATGTGTGAAGGAAGGGAGAAGCATTTGATTAGCTGCTGAGTCATTTATAAGTTGAGAACTCTTTGTTTTATGGTTTTTATTCTTTAAAAAAAATCAACTGGCTTTTTGTTTCATTGAGACAAGCAAGATCTCACGTAGCTGAGGTTGGTCTTGAATTCCTGATACTCCTGTCTCCACCTCTGCAGTTTTGGGATTACAGGTATGTGCCACTGTACCTAGCTTGCATTCTGGGAGAGAACTTTTCAAAACATCTTACATACTTTTTAAGAACTCATATCTTAGCCAATCAGTGGTGGCGCATGGCTTTAATCCCAGCACTCGGCAGGCAAAGCAGGAGGATCTTTGTGAGTTCGAGGCCAGCCTGGTCTACAAGAGTTAGTTCCAGGGCAGGCTCCAATGGTACAGAGAAACCCTTTCTCACCCCGCCCCCCCAAAAAAAACTCTTATCTTTCATAGCTCTACAGAGTACTAGTGACTAAGCTGGGCATGATGACACATAGCACTTGGGAGCAGGAGGATTAGGAGCTCAAGATCCTGTGTGCACCTCAATAAAACAAATAAAAAAGCCCTTCGGTGTATGGGTAATGCATGCATGATTAAATGACATTCTAGGGCTGTTGATATGATCTAATTGTTAAATTTATTTTATTGTAATTCATTGTCTTACCATTTATTGGACATGGGATTGGTAGTTAACAGATGTGAACACAAAATATTGTGTTTCAGTCAGTATTAGTAGCCAGAGACATTCCCGTTGTATTTTTGAGTTAGCAGAACTTAACCTTTTCTCAAACCATAAACTCTCAGATCCTTTCACCCCCATCCCACCAAGGAGATAATCCTGCTTTTAGCTTTCATTCCCTACTGAGACAACCTCTAGTATCTCTGCAGATTATTTTCATATGTCTCCAAGTAAGTGGTGTGGTTTTTCATGTCTTTAAGGGTTTGCCCCCCCCATTGTACTGGTCTCTATGCCAAAACTTTTCATCACTGAGGTCCAAGAATGTTAAAAACACACACATGTGCACACCTACACCTGCCCTACATGGAAAAGTTTAAGAAACAACACTATTTCATTTAAGTTTTTTTATTACACTTATTAGGGTGGGACAGGGCATGCTGCAGTACATGTTTGGAGGTCAGAGAACAATCTGAATGAGTTGATTTTCTCCTTCCACCATGTGGATCCTAGGGATCAGGCTGTCGTCCTCAGCAGAAAGCTCCTTGCCAGCCCCAGAAACTTGTTTCCTATATGAGTTTTATTTTTTGCCTTAAAGTGGATGCATAAATAACAGTGCTACGTAAGATCTCTGGTTTCCTACTTGTTACCCAAGGCTCTAGGGTAGACAGTTGTTTTGGCAGCAGATGCTAGAATGAAGAGGGAATCTGACAACTGGACCCCTGTTCGGTGCTCTGTAAGTCAAGGAAGAAACTGTGTAATTAGCACCCCAGGGCCTCCCTTTATCTCTACCCTTTTGTAATCACATTGTAAGATCCACAGGCAGGAAATTGGTTTTGTTCATGTTTTTATTTCAAATATCTGTTTCTTCAGAACAATGTGGGATGGCAAGGAAGGAGGAGTGTAGGGGTCCTTTTGGTATAGGTTGGGCAGCTATAATCTGACAGTTAACTATTCTGTTTAAAATAGCACAGGATTGTTGTATAATTCTATAAATACTTACAATTTTTAAAATTTACAAAGTACAAATATAATGAGCTCCATGTAGCCATCCATTGATCCACCCTTCCTTACAGAGCTTTTCCATCCCCTGTTGCCGCACTGATCAGATGCACTGTGTCTTCCCTCTAAGTAGGTGAGTGACTAATAGACTGTATGAGTGCTCAGGGCACTCATCCTCTATCCGAAGACTCTCAGAGTATAACTTTACCCTTTGTTCACTAAATGTGTTAAGTTAGCCCTGGAGAATTACCTGTTAATGGTCCCTTATTTCTGAGTGGCAGATATATTATTTTTGGTTAAACATTATACTGAATTGAAATAACTTTGTGTGTGGTGTGGTGGTGGTATTGGTGACTGAACTTGGGATTTCACACATTTTAGGCAAGCGTTCTTCGGCAGAGCTAACATCCCCAGCTATTAGCTTTACTTTGACACATTTGCTTTACTTTTACAAGTTTCACTAACTTGATTAGACTGGCTTTGAATTCCAGCCCTTCTAGCTCAACCGCCTGAAGGGCTAGGATTGTGGGAGTATGTTACCATACCTAGCCTAAAATAACTTTTAAGTACCACATAAGCCTTGTGAACTAACAAGTTGTAATATTTTGAATTGACTTAGCTTGAGGAGCAAATTTAAACTTAATGAACTCATTCCAGAATTTATTTTTTAAATTTATGTGTATTTATTTGTTTGGTGTGTATGCATGTGTGTAAGTGTGTGTGTATTCTCACATCCACAGTAGCATGTGGAGGTCAGAGGACAACTTGTACCTTAGGGGTCCTAGGCATTGAACTCAGGTCATCATATTGCCAGCCCAGTAAGCTACTTTTTGGCATCTGTATTTTCTTTTAAGCTTTTATGATGATGGGACTGGAACCTAGACCTTCATGCATGCTAGGCAAATGCTCCATCACTGATCTCTTTGCTCAGTTAAATGTGTTATTTAAGAAAAAAAAATCCTGCTGCTGTTTGCTTTTGAGATAGAATCTTCTAGCCTAGGCTACTCTTGAACTCACTGTGTAGCCCAAGCTGCTTCAACTTGAAACTTTACTGCCTTAGCCTTCTGAATACTGGGATTACAGCAGTACAGCACCATGCCTGGCCTTTATTTGCATATTTTGAGAGGCTGGCCTGTTAATCTTCTTGACAGTCCTCCTGCTTCAGCCTCCTAAGTGCTGGGATTATAGTCATGAATCATCATGACTGTCCTACAGCTTTTCTTTAAATATATATTTGATATATATTTAAACACTTTTAATATATATTTAAACCCAGCTATATCAGAAGATTTTTTTGTTTAAAATGTCCCAAAGCAGGTGCACACGCTAAATTCTAATAATCAAAAGCTATTCATTGGATTTACATAAATTAGGTAGGCCTGGCACTTGCCCTTTTGCCACTGGAGCATAACAAGCTGTAACAGTTGCCTTTGAGTACATGTCCTTGGGAAAACAGAAATCCAATACTGGTGTGAGTAGGATTTTAAAATACTTAACATGAGTTAAGTAGTCCCATTTGTTACTTAAAAAAATAACCTTTCGCTTAGTTTTTCAAGCATCTATTGTGATAATTTTCATTCTTCCAGCTGTTTAAAGTAACTATACCAAATGTAGGTTAATTCTGTCTTAAACATAAAATGTAGATTTTCAGTGTGTAAAACAATAGGCATTCTTGTTAGTTTGAGAAATCCATTTTATTTTGTTTGAGGTACAGTCCCTCTGCACAGTGAACAAATATATTACAAATCTGTGGTTTAAAAAAGTATTGCCATTTCATAGTCTCTCACACTATTGTACAGTAACTTTGTTCTTTATTTTTCTGACTTGTATACATATTAATTTACTGGATTGAAGTTTTCATTTTGAAATATAATTGAGCAGATCTTTCCAGTCATTGATAGAATGTGCAGTGCACGTGTATAGGCTGACTGCAGACTTACTTGTGATTGTTAGACAGAAATTCCTAACAGTAGCTCTGTATGATCGAAATGTCCTAGTGCTAACTCTTAGCTATGTGAAAGCTGCTCTTGTCGCCATAGTCAATCACATCTCTGCCCTTTCCCTCCTCCTCTGTATTGCCTGTTTTGAGTGATGTTGCTTGAAATGTTGTAGAGTACTACAGTTGGAGAGTTGTTAGAGCTCTCCTCCCACTAACGTGTCTCTTCTTTCATGTGTGGGAAATAAAAGAGCCCAAAGAGGGCAAGTGACTTAACAAGAGTGGTGCCAGCATCTCTTGACTTGGTGCTCCAGTCATCTCACCTCTTGATGAATACTTTTGTGCAGAGGGTAGTTGGTAAGAGAGGAGTGAGACTTGGAATTTGCATGATTGCAGTTTTCCAGGTAGCAGTTATTGTACATGCAGGATAAGGGAAGAAGATAAAGCCTGGGATTGAGATGCCATTTCTCCTTGCTGATTGGATTTTGCCATGCTTCTTGATCCTTGCTTCCCAAAGATAATTGAGCACTTGTGGCCCTGAAATACTGAGGTGAGTCTCTTAACTCTATTTCTTTATACATATATATGAGAAATATTAACTTAGGTCTACAAAGTAATTTTCTAGTGTTCCTATTTTAATAAGGCTTTTTGGAAAGTTTGCTATTGCTGATCTCTCGCTTCCATGCACACATGCAGCATTCATGTTTATGTTCCTCTATTGCTAAGATTGGCTTATGCCTTGAGTGAAGTGAGGAGGGAGATTTGCTTATATATTTTCTTGCTTTTGCTGATTCTTACCCAAACTAAGGGGTTCCAAGCTGACTTCTAGTTAGTATCAACCCCACTTTCTGTATCAGTATCCAGCTTTGCAGTTTTCTTTCTGTGAACCCTGTTTAGGTAATTTTCACTGGTTAGACCCTTATTCCTCATGAAGAGCTTGGGCGGCACAAGGGTGGCCATTAACTTCCAGTTTGCCCTTTTCCTATAGGAATTAGCCACATCCAGAATTGTCCATGCTTCGGTTTACCTGCTATCACACCGTGCAGAGGAAGTTATGACTTATCTGAATAAAGGTTTAAAGCACCAACTAATGGAATACGTGTTTGCCCATTTCAGTAGGTGATGGGCTTTTAAAATCTTTTTTTTTTTACATATATTTCATTTAGTTCCATCAAAAAGCATAATGTATGTTAAGCTACTTAAGCTTGCCATGCCCATATTTGTATAATTTCTTGTACATTTTTAGGGTCCATGCTACATCAAGTGCTATCTATGAAGAACTGCTTGAAAACAAGTCAATGGACTCCAACTAAGTAAATTGAATAGGCCATTTGGAAGGTTTCTAGGGAAACTTAATTCTTACCAGCCTACACCTTTTCTATGATGCTGGTGATCTACCCCAGGGCCCCACTCACCACCAAGTGTTCTTCCTCAGGGCTGCATTCTCAGCCCTGTGACTACTATCTTAAAGTAGCAGCTTAGTTCTCTGGTACACACAGAATGACTCAGTGTTAGGCGTATTAATGCAGTGCAGCCAGGCTAGGACTGGCCTTCATTATTCTTGACAAGATTTGGTAAATCAGGCATAGAAACCATTCTAGACTGAATGAAACTGCTGCGCTTTTGAAATAATTACTCTTTTTCTCCCCTTTCTGTTTTGCCTCCTATCACTGATGGGACAGAAGAAAGTGACTCTGTCTTTATTAAATTCTTAGTTTTGAAAATGCAAGTTGTCAGAAGTATGCTATATTTTAAACTCTGATTATGGCTGTTATACTTTGATGGACCATACCTGTATGTACACAGATTTTACTATTAATATTAGAACAGTTCATATCCACGCACCAGTTCCCTTCGATACTGAAGCAGATGGTAACAATAATCAATAGCACATACACGTTTCAGGTACTCTAAAGTGCCCCTCTCCATTCCCCAGTCCCCTTCTCCTATGAAAGTTTGCAAAACCTAAGCCACATGCATTGTAAGCGTTGTTTCAGAATATTAAATACATATCTTTTATCTGAATTTAGCTGATGTTGATGAGTAGCGATATCTTAAATGTTTTAAAAATCATATCCAGGGCACTTAGGGCTGAAGGTGATATGATTTGCCTTTGTGAACAGACTCCTTGAACAGTTACCCCAATCCCATTTGGAAGTGCTTCTTTCAATCCAGATCAATCTGTACTGATATTTCAAGTCACGGAATTTCTTCTTTCAGAGTCAGAGAATAGTCAGCAGAGCACACTTAAGAGAGAAGTTTATCCCTCTTACTGCTTGTCCTGGGAGGGCCCATTGGCAGGGCTCTGTCTTACTGGGAGGAGGTCATAATGACCAGGAATATGGCTGTTCCTAGGTAGGTCGTATGGATTCTGGATATAGCTGGAGTTATGACCTCGGCCTTCTTGGACCACACTGACTGTGGGCTCTAAGGAATATAGTGAAAAATGAGTTCAGAGAACAGATTAGCTTTGTTGCCTTGGTGGGAGATTTGAAAGTTCTATTTAACTTGTTGGGGAGAGGAACTATGGATGTATAAATCTGATAAATGCATGATGATTACGACCGGCTTTCTCTAGAGATAGAAAACCCAAGGGTCAGAATCCCTGCCTCTGTACAACAAGAGATTTAGGACATCCTAGAGGTGTGGGTCTTATGAGTACCTCTAGGATCACAGTTGAATAGGGGAGGTGTAAGGAACTGATTTGGAAACTTGTAAACAGCAGTTCTAATGGTTTTCTTTTTCAAACTTGGATTTGCACCAACAATCAGTGGAAGTGTTGTATACTGGTTCCCCAACCTTGCTATTTCTACTGCTTATCAGTTGTAATTTGTAAGCAGAGTGGCAAAAGATTTTGTTTTCCTGCATTAGAGGAGAGGGAAGTTCTGGGATGGAGTTTCTCCTTGGGTTCCTTCAAATGCAGCCAAACAGAAGGGTGTGTTGTGGAGAGAGTGAGTGGAGGAGAGTTAGTTTTCACTTGGGATGCTGCACTGTTGCCCTGGTTTTGCTAAGTTACTTATGTGAGACACCTACCAACTTCATATATATTTTTATTAGATGTCGACAAGGATGGCACATCTGTGTACGGAGACCCCATGTGCACAGGTGACTTCATTTCTACATAGCTGCTTTCTGGAAGCTTGCAGGTGAGGATGGGTGGATCCTTAATTGTAGCATAAGGGTTTTCACTGCTGTTCAAGGAACAAGTACTAGAACTGCACGCAGATTCTTTCATGTAATCTGCAAGGCAAGAGAGATTTCTTAGGAGAAACAAGGACATAAGGATTCATTTAAATATCAGAAACAGACTACAGTCAAGTTTGTGTGCCTGAGGCTGGGACAGACTATGATATTGAAAGATTATTATTTTTTTCTCAAGACAGTTTCTCTTTGTAACAGCCTGGCTGTCCTGGAACTAGCTCCTGTAGAACAGGCTGGCCTTGAACTCAGAGATCCACCCCCCCACTCCTGCCTCTCAAGCACTGGGATTAAAGGCTTGTGCCACCACCGCCCAGTAGAAGATTAAATCTTATTCAGTGTCTTAAGGTATGCTTTCTCAGGCATTCTTTTCCCACAGAAACATGTTATTCACAGTATTTGTTTACATGTATCATTTAGTTTATACAAATGCTAGCTGGTATATTACAGGATGGAAGCCCAGAGAGACACAGTTAACTTGGCCAGATCATGAGCTAGTAAATAGCACTGCAGAGCCAAGACTTTAATCTGTGCTCTAAGATTTCTTGGCCCCATGTTTCCTGTGATAATGGCTAGAAACTTGGATTCAGAAGCAGCACAGCAGTAGCAGCATTTGTGTGTTTCAGTGTGGACGTCAACAGTTTCGCTGCCTTCAGCAAATAGTGGCATCCTGGTCTTTGAGGAGCTCATCCTTAGAGTGGGACAACTGAAGTGTGACAGGTATAAAAAGCCCTCAGTTTCAAGCTGGCCTTTGAGAGGGTACCCGTGTCTTAGCAAACTCAAAGTATAGTCTAGGCCCAACTTCTTGGTCCTTAAGAATGTTGACTGGCGCCTGTTTCAGTCATATCCTGCTCTATCATTAGAACTCATCTGCACGAGGGTGCAGAATGACGTCTAATAAAAATGGGATGAAGTGACAGTAGCTCCCCTGGAGGAGAAGACCCCTTAGTGACTTAGAGTCACAGAGAAAAACCTCCACTCCTACTCTCCTTCCCTTTGGGGTGATGCTCTATCTGCTCAGTAAACTAGTCTGATGGTTGTCACCCTTTTCTGTGAGGCATTGGCATGCAAGGTGTCTGGAAATAACCCTGAGTGGCCAGAGCTTGACAGTCAAGAGTAACCTAAGAGGCTTCTCACCTCTAAATGTCTCTGGCAATCAGCTGGTGAAATTTCTGGGAGTCTTCTCACTAGAACCACCACCGTTTCCATTTGGAGCTCTTATTTAAGCTCCCTGTCCCCAGCTGTGATTTTACGGAAACTGTTAAAAAGCTAAAGCTGTGTCCCAAAGGGAACTGGATGTGCAAGTGGCTGAAGGAACTGAGATGGGCACCACCATGAACGGTCTGGTCTACAGCAGGTCTGATGCCGAAGGGTTTACTCTGAATGTTGGCAGCTCTTGTTTTAGCAGGTAGTATTTCCTTGGTTTTGTGTAGAGGTGTATTCACAATGCTGGGATGCAGTAGAGCCGGTAACTAAGTCCCTGCTCCTGCCTCAGGGCTTGTGAAGAAGTTGAGACTGAGTGAGGAAGTAAACTCCTCAGGGTCCCACTGTCTCTCAGTACAGTGGAAATTCAAAGCACTTTTCATTGCAGCTCTGCTCATAAGTTGGGAGGGAAGTTGGCTTTTTAGTCTGGTTGGTCTAAGACTGACCTTGGTTGATAATGAGCTAGATAATGGGCAGTCTCAGCAGTTATAGCTAGGACTGAAGGGTAGGTAAATAGTACTTCTGCTGGTGGAAGCCTACTCACGTGGAGAACCACGGCCTGGGTTCTAGACTGTGACTTGCCTCAAGCTGTCATCTTAGTTTGCCTCTCAGTACTTTCTTAGTACAGGGGAGTGGTGTAAGCTTGAGAACCTCTGAGTCAGCCCAGTATGGTTGGTCTGAACTCACCAAGCAGGGAGAGAGGTTCGGGGCTGTTGAAAGCTGTTCATTACCTATCACCACTGTCTTGGTTGTGTATTATGTAGAATTGAGGGATAGCTTATTTTATGTAGCAGTTGAAGAGTGACCTTCATTCCAGTTAGGTTTTGAAACTGAGTGTGATTTGGCACAGCTGTAAACCCAACATTTGGGAGGAAAAAGCTAGCAGATCTGAGTTTAAGCCTAAGCCTGGTTCACGCATCAAGTTCCAGGCCACCCAGGGCTTTATAGTGAGACCTTGTCTCAAACCGAACAGAAAGAAAGAAACTTGGTGAGAGGCGGAGCAGGAAGAGACTGTTATTACTATTTAGAAATAAGGAAACCAAAGCTCAAAGTTTGTTAGTCTAATACTTAGTGCTTAGGACTCCCACTGTCTTATCTGACAAGATGTTTTTTCCATCAGCATATCTAGTTTACCTGGAGTGCAAGGTCTTCACAGCTGCTTTAGTTTATCCTTCCTGGACATACCAAGGCCTGCTGAGATTCCTCTTAAGCTTGAAGCTTAGTGACTGAGTGGCTAAGATAGAGTAGTGCAGGAGCCTTAGAGCCTCACTCAGCTGTATGTTCACAGAAAGTGAAACAGTGGGTTGCTCTCAGTGTTTGATGAAGAAAATGCTAGCTTTTATCCATTTCAGTATATTCCTTCTCATGAGCTAAATTGGAGCTGGGGGAGGGGAGAAGGGGGTTAGGCTCTTCTATACAAGGTTTGCAGGCCAAGACAGGCTGGAGAAATCCATGAAGAGTGATGGTTGGGGAGGGTGCTGAGTTATCCCGTCTCTGCTGGGAACTGGAGGAGATACAGGGTAAGGCAAGCTAGAAAACTCAGGAAGCCAAGCCTTTCTCTTGTTGAGTCATCCACCTGCCTGCTATGATGGCAGGGTGTGGGGAAGAGTAACCAGCTGGGCTAGGATACTTCCTCATCCCTTCAGCCCTACTCCCACCCCACTGCCTGCTTGTCAGGGCACTGTGCAAAGAAAGGGGAAGCATGCAGTCTTCCAAGTGCCCTGACATTTACTCTCCTTGTTTCCTCCTGGACCATGTGCAGTCATGCATATTATCACAGTCAAGATGGGTTTCTGGAATGAACATCTTCATTTTTTGAGGAAGCACAAGTATAAAGAGGAAACAACTTCTCAAAGTTGCTCTGTGAATATGTTCTGAATCTATTAAGACCTGATATTAATTTAAAGCCCAAGTTACTCAAATGTATGTAGAAACTCAGGCACTAAGTATCTGTTGGTCACCTCTGAGCCACTGCTATCAGTAGGAGGTCACACTGCTGCTTCTGTTCCTGGGGTTAAGTTCTTCACTTCAGTGAGAGATAGGATATGGGGAGGGGTGAAGTGGGAGTGGGGACAGAGTGGTGTCTAAGATCCAGAAAACTGGCCAACCACAAGAGTTGTCAGGAGTTCAGTGGGCTTCTTAATGTCTGAAAACCCAAAGTTACTTGAAGGAGTGGGTGGCAAGGGAGCCCAGGTTGTGGGAATGGCGGTACAGGCTCAAGAATTCCCAGACAGAAGGTAGAGAGAAGTGGATTTTTTTCTGTCAGACTCTGAATGCATGACAGACAAGGAATTGGACATGTGACAGTTTATTATACAGTCATTATGCTGCAGAAAAAGGTAAGACAGGTGCTTAGCTGTGTAAGCAATGTCCTTCAGTCTCCCAGGGTGACGGTGAGTGGAGTTCCCAGTTAGAGAAAAAGGTAATTGTTACCTGAATTAGGACTGTTAGAATGTCAGAGTTGGGAGGCCTTAGCAATGGTGCTGTTACAGCTGTCCTTTTAAAGAGGCCAAGACCCACATGGACTGCTGTGTCTAGTGAGCACCATACAACTGAGCTGAAAGCCAAATGTTTCATTCTCTGGTACACGCCCCCCCCCCCCCACACACACACACAAACACATCAAGTTTAGAGAACCTCTAGACTCTTAATTAGTCCTGTGGGTTTGGCTTGCCCTTTATTGCTTTAGGAAATAGTTTAATAAGTGACAGGAAGTAGCTGGTCACAGATGTTTGGGGAATTTAGCTAGTAGGTAGGATTTGTTCCATGAGTTTTGTAGCATTTCTTACACTAATATTTAAGCTCTACACAGATATTTCACTGGCCTCTTTTTGAACTCTGTTGTGCCATGTTGGCCCCCAACATGTACATTTGCCTACACAGCTCCTTCTCTCTCTGAAGGCTGATTAGAGCCAGTTGTGAAACAGTCTGGCTGCTTGCCTGAGAGAGCCTCCCATGCACTCAGATGACTCCAGGAGACAGGAATGCAATGATGTCCAGGTAGAGACTGGCTTTCATTGGCTTTGTTTTACATTTATGGTTTTGAGTTTAAAAGTAGTTACCCTAATCACCATGCACAGGATGACAAGGTGTATAGTGAAGGTGTGCTAGTCTCAGGGCCTGGATGAGCTGTTCTCCATTGAGTCATGCAGCTTCTCAGAGCCTCAGAGGCCCTGGGAGAGCCCTCCAGTCCCCATTGAGAAACAGATTTTGGGTCATAGTGAACAAGTGGCATTACGACTCTTCTGTTGGCATCCGCCGTACATCCCGAAATGGCGATTATTTAAGCCAGAATCCTCAGAAACTTGCCATAATCAAACTCCAAGGGTAATGCTGCCTATAGGCTGGATTGGAACTTGGGCTCTCCCTCCTCAAACAGGTCTCCTGGGCTTTGCATATCCTAAATGGTTGGCCCTGCTGTTCTCTTTCTTGTAGAACACACCACCTCTCAAGTTTTGCTCATTTACTTCTGATAGCCAGCTTCCCTAGAGTTGTATACAAGTTGCTCTCCTTTCTCCTTGATTAGGAGATGGCCATGCTAGATTTGAAAGATCAGAACCTGGGAAATCTGGGGCAGTTTAGACAAATATAGTTGGATAATAAATTACATTAAGGATAGCCTGAGATACTCCTCAGTTGCAGAGTGCAGGGACCCCCCTCTCCATCTACTGCATCTGATGTGGGTATAAACCTGCAGTTTGAACATTTGTGGGGTGATTTTGGTGCAGGGGTAGATGTAGAATCAGTGGGATCCTCACTGACTTCTGTTACTGCTCTTTCAGTTTGACTGAGACATTTCCAGAGACATCACGTTGGTACCACTTTTATAATATACAAAAGCACTTCCCATCTGATTTTATTGGACACCCAAGATAACCTTGTTAGATAATAAGACAGGCATGAGTCAACAGGACAGGCATAAATATCCCAACCTTGCAGATGAAGAGACAACCTTAGGAAACACACGGTTAATAAGTGACAGAGTTCCGAGGCACCCTGCCTAGCTCACATGTTCCAGCATTTAAACCTAGGACCTAATGGGGGGGGGGGCTGGACTTGATCTTTGATTTTTTTAGCTTCACCTGTAGACTTCCTAGAGGGATGGTCCACCTTGTATGTAGTTCTTGTGGCGTAGGGGTCTGTCTTGGCTTCCCTGCTCTTGTGCGCAGAGATCTCCCGAGGGTAGGGGCTGTTAACACTGGGCATCATTTGTATTCCTTGTGCCCCAGAAAGGCAGCAGGTGCAGGGTGGTGGTCCTTGCCAGTACAACAGAAGGCCTCTGGGGCAGGTAGATTGACTTTATTTCAGATTTATAATCAATTTAGCTCGTACTAATTGGTTGGATAATGACAGTCTACATTTCCGCAGACATTTAGTTGGCATCTATAACAAACCCACAAGTGTTTGCTGAGCAGGTGCAACTGCACTGGAAAGATGAATTCGTTATTATTAGGATTACTCCTCCTGGGCAGAGCGCCACCCAGTGACTCTGGTCCTGTGATCTTTTTAGCTTTTTTTGTTGTTTTTTTTTTTTAAGGGGCATAAAGGTCTACAGTTTTCTCCCAGGCAGTATTTCTTGCCTTTTCAGATCGGTAACAGGACATCAGGATTAGATACTCTACCTTTGAAGCCTTTGTCCATAATGTATGTGTTCTGACGTCTATCCATTCCACAAGTGCCTGCATAGAAACAGAAGGAAAGAAAATACAGGGTAAGGTTTCCTTAGACAGCTGGTGGCTTCCTCCTCCCCTTGCCTTTTTCTTCCTTTACCCAGAAAATAGTTTACTCCTAACAAATTATACTGGATTTAATCTATTCTAAATAGTTTTGAACAGGCTCATCACATTAGATAGACCGCAACACTTTTTTTTTTTCTTTCCTTTTAGTCTGCACCTGTCTTTCAGAATGCCACCTTTGATCTCCGTAGGTGAAGTGCCAGGCTCTAGACGCACAGGGTAAGGAATGAAACTAGACCAGTCCTTAGCTGGAGGGTTCCAGATGCAGATTTTCCTTTCCCTTGGTTTTAGAATGGAGTTGGAGATAGGGTTTCTCACCTCTTTGCTCTGATGGGGGCCAGGGAGAAAAAGACAAGTAGCTGGGTTACTTAATTAGTTTACTTTCCGGGAAGAACAGTCATTCCCAGCCACAGCCAGTCACTCATTTGAAGGGCATGGGGAAGTAGAACTTTGTTCCTGAAAATGTTGCCAGTGTTTTTCAGCCCTGAGGACTTCTTTCTTAATTTTGCTGTTAGCTTTTTTTTAGGTTCCCAGAATGCATGGTCCTGAGCCCTAGCCACAGGCGGGACATAAACGTGAGTGGATTGCTATAAGTGATCCCATGGGACCAAGTCTGGCCTTTCCAAGCTGGGACAGGAATGACTAACTTACAGTTACCCCACCGACCTTGGTGTTTTGTTTTGTCTTTGGGAATTTTTACACATATATAGTCTGAGTACACATGAGTACAGGTGCCCGCAGATGCCAGAGGTATTGTATCACCTGGAGTTGGGGTTTCAAGGTGGTTGTGAACTGTCTGATATGTGTTCTTAAACCAGATACACCTCGGTCTTTAATTGAAAACAGTACCAGGTAAGGTAGTTGGCAAATACTTACTAAAATATAGTCTAACTTCACCTAACCTGCCCACATTTGTGACACCAAGGACAAACCCACTGATACTAGGGTCCTTCCTCCACATTAAGTTCCCAAGTTGAATTTACAGATCATGCCTATGTGCCCACCTTTATACACGTGTCTGAATGGTATGGCAGAAGCAAGCCATTCTAAAAGTGCCAAAGAAACCCTTACCCTTAAAAACCTATAGCAGGCCGTGTTGACCTAGTTTAACACTTAATAGTAAAGGATTTCCTTTGCTTTCCTTGAAGAAAGGAGGGTAGCTACAGTGTTAGCCCCCTCTTTAAGGAACAGCTGTCCAAAGAATATCAGAGATGTTCAAGAATATACAAGCAAATACAAGGTTGAGTTGTAGTAGAGCATCAGGTGTTCTCTCCCAGTAGCCACAGTTAGCTGGCTGTGAGCTAACAGACTAGTGTGAGGTGCTCTAGCTACAGTGATTGAAGGTCTGTGGAACAGGGAGGAACTAGGCTGAACCCTGAGGAGGCCCAGGTGCTCCCAAGCTATTTGAATCACAATGACCTCAAGGTGAAGTGAGGGCAGCTTAGCCTTAGTTGACAGCCAGCAGGGTCCTTGCAACCTTGCCTACTCAACAAGATGAATTCCGAACCTTCATGCTTCCTGGACTACAGACCTGAGGAAGTTGACTTAGTTTCAGTGGAGCTTTAAGAGTCATCTAGAGCCCAAATTCAAACCTAGAGTTGGCTAGCATTCTGGGGCTCTGCCCTAAGGTATCCTAGAAGAGCTACTTTGTAGGGAGGCCACATCCCGTGTCCATCCTTTGTACTCTTGACATTCATTTTTGTAACTGATGCATATGTTCCTTTTTTCAGGACTCACTTGCCAAGTGTCTTTTTCACACCCCTCTTAGGCCACCACCTTTGAGCTCAGTGTTTGAGTCCAGAGGATACTTAGTGGTAGATCTGCCTACCTTCTCCCAGTCTCTTCTCAACAACCCTATGTCATTTTCTAAGAAGATACAGTTTGAGCCACTGTTAGGTCTGGGGCCTCTCTGGGGATCATTGAACTTTTTCCAGAGAGCCAACATTCTGTTATCTACACCATTATTGGGTTGCATGTTGCCCAACAGAGAGTATAGCCAGGCTGTGTCGCCTCCATAAGCAATCCCAGTTTGTCCACATCAGCTAGTGTGACGAGGGTGAACAGGGTAGTAGGAAGGTCTGGGACAAACTGCCGCCTTTGGGTGGGGCTTAGGAGCTATAGACTGATCACAGGAAGGCTCCATGGAATCAGGGAGAGGGTGTAGCACAGTCTGCTATGGGGTGGAAGGAAAGGCTGGGGGGTCTGACCTGGTGAGTGTGGCTCATTGTGGCGGCTGAGGTGTCTAAGTTCAATGTAGAAGTCCTCGGGCGGGTACCTGGCCTCCAGGGCACTGATCTGGAAATGGGAGTCTAGTGAGAGGAATGACAGGGAGGAGCCATTATTCCCAGGGCCTGGATGGCAGGGGAAGGGGGTGAGAAGCACAGGGTAGGGCAAGGGCAGGCCAGAAGGAATCAAGATCTCCATGTAGCATCCAAAGGGACTGGGGTTATCTGTCCTCTCTTCCCCTCCCATTCCATTCCGCCCTCCACTGGGGCAGAGGGAAGAAGCCTTGAAAAGTATCAGGCAGAGGATCCTTTTCTGCCTGTGGCAAATACTCATTCTGCTTCCACCTGGAAATCTCACATTCCATCCCTGGTAGTCAGTGGGCTACAGCCATGCACTCCCTGTACACCACAGGGAAAGCCACGCTCAGGACCCAACTCTCTTGCTTTGAGGTGGGGCAGCTCCCCTCAGTACAGAGATCAGGGTGGGACCCATGGGGAAGATGACTCAAACCACTACTGACCTAACACGTTCACATAGCTGTAGGGGGTCCAGCCTGTTGTGTCTCTGTCAAGGGACTTGTTACTGAGCTGTTTGAAGAGGAGAGCCAGTTAATACCTCACATCTCAGCTGCCCTTCCCCAAGTTGGTACTTGGCCCAGCCTCACTGTACCCATCCCTAAGATGCTCCTGAGCTCCCAGACCCTGGATGACTGAGTAAAGGAGGAACAGACAAATGTTATATGACAAGCTATCATGCTATAGTTGAGGCCAATGAAAACAGCATATGCCCAAACCAAGTTCTTAGGCCCCCGTGGCACATGGAGTTATGCTGTAGGGGCAGGTCGGGGAGGAGGGGGAGGAGACAGTCTGTCACAGGGCATCCCCAGCACAGAGGTAGGAGCTGCCTGCAGTTCTTGCTCCTGGGCCATATATGAGAGTCTGATGTGACCAAGGGGAAGTTCCAGTTATGAGACTGATGCAGTCCTCTCCCTGCATTCTCTTAGCAGCCCTTTATGTGAGGAAAGGATGTTATTTCAGACGTGGGACCATACTCAGATACACAGAAGCCAAAGGCAAAGTTGTTGGCCCTAGAATTCAGGTCTCAGTTGCCTATCCCCTCCACGACACTGTGCCTACCTTTGCTCCAGATGTTTTATCTCCCAGGAAGGGTTCTTGTCTACACAAGGCCAGTCTCAGCCTGTGATGGGAGCCAAACCAGTCCTCTACTGAAAGAGTAGCTGGCTCTTGCACAAATAATGTTGTGGCCTGGAACCTCTGTCACATCCCTGGCTTGTGCCTCTAGCCTGCTGCAGCTTTGATAACATGGCTGGAGTTAATCAAGGGCTGCCTGATGGGTAACCAAATTCTCTTCTCTCAGCTTCTCAAGCTAAAAGCTGAACTGAGCCTGCACACAAGAGCCTTGTTGGAAGATGACAGGCAGAGTCGCCAAAGCTATTGGGCTTCTGAGTAACCTGCATACAACTTGTCTGTTTCATAGAAAAGCAACCCCCAGGTCTGTGGGCTGGTGGTCATTCTTCAGCGGGGAGATGGGGAGGAAGGAATTCTGAGAGCTCCAGGGAAGAGGCCTAAAATAAGAAAGTTGTGCCCCTGGCATGGGATCGATGATGGTACAGGAAGCCAGGTATTCTAGGATTGTCACCCCCCAAATGGTCCTGCCATTCTGAGTGTATGTGTGTGGCACGTGTTTAGGTAGGTGTCAGGTGTGTATAGCAAGAGCCCCTCACAAACCTTATCTTTGGGGCTGTTCATGTCTCAGCCTCTCACACTGCCTCTTATTGGTCCATCATCAAGGGATGTACTACATGCTGTCTTGTCTGTCTACATATACATACATATTTTATGAGAAATCTAAGGTTTGGAATATTTGTGACTAAAAACAACTATCCATTCTGTGATTTAGTGCTGTGCTTGGAGCTGTCAGGGAGAGCACACCACTGGTCCACCCCTTTTCAGCAAGAACACTAGCTAACATTTGGGTTCCCATCTGATGTGTGTATTGATGACATGTATGCCCAAGTTTAAGAGGCATCAAGTAGTTAATTGAATAGTGAGTTACTTCAGAGTATATTGCTAACACACTAGTAATTTGTGGTAAACATACATTTTGAGTATATGTATTGGCACATGACCAAAGTGGTTACATGGTATACATGGGTGTGGGATAAGGTGGTTGCATGTGATGTTACTGTGTTCTGGTAGGTTCTAGTTATCTATACACAAGGTGCAGGTAAGTTCCAATGAGTGGGCAGCATGATGTAGTTGCTTGGGATAGAGCCTACTGTCTCCATAAAACATACTCTTTCCCAGTTTCATGATTCAGAGTGTTCTTATGTACTATGAGTCTCAGGATTGTTCTTAATGCAGAAGTTCCACACAGCCTCCATGTGGGGGTGCAGTTCCTTCCTGGGCAGAGGGGAGTGTTAAATGGAGAGGATTGTGGGTGAGGGCTGGGGAGCCAAGGGGCCAGTACCTTGGTGGGGCTGTTCCTGTCCAGAGTGCTGGCCTGGCTGGTGGTAGGCCCCCCGCACGCCAGTGTGTGGTAGCTGGCATTGGAAAAGCACTGGGCATGGCTGCTACTTTGAGACAAATCTGGGAAGAGAACAAGGAGCCATATTCCATCATACACCTGTCCTTGGTTGAGATGCCCCCAAAACTAATGCTGGGGCTGGGCATTTTTGAGTGTCACCTGAAAAGACAGCCAAATCCCCCAACATCCTCCAAGCTACCTGGCATCTAGTAGCCCTAAAGCAAGCAGGAGAGCCAGCCATGTTTTCTTCTTACTAATGGCAGCCCCCTGTGTAGCTCACAGACCAGGATTGCCAATATAGGGGTATCATGGTCAGCTGGAAGCTGTTCACTGCTGACTCTGGCTTTATGTCTTTGAGTTTCTATTTTAGGTAGATTTACTTTCCCTTGCTTCCCCCTATGGTCAGACACTAGTAATAAGTACACAGAGAACTCCATTCTTGTTGACCCTAGCTCTTCTGAAGTTTCTTCAAGACTGGGGAAAATCAGCCATTCCTGCTCATTGTCATTATAGAAGAAAACTGCCAAATCTCAATGGGCCTCAGCTTTCATCAGAGGATGTTGGCTTTGGCTGGACCCCAGAGGTCTCTGAAAGCAACGCCTCTACTGGGGCCAGCTGTCTGTCCTGTTCCTGGCATAGAGCTGGCACACAGCAGGTGGCACTTAGCAGGAATGGCAGATGTGGTCTAGGTGCTCTTAAATTAAACACAAGGTACAGGAGACTATAGATCAGCTACAAGCCATTGGAAGGTCACCACCCTCTCCTTAACAATGCAGGCCTAACCAACACCAGGGTGTTTGGGAACCTTACTGGTTAGCTAAATATGAAGCAGAAAGCATTCTCTTCAAGGTATCAGTTCAGGGGAGAGAAAGGATCTGGTCAGTTCCATACATCCTCTCTCAGACTACCACAGGATGCCATATCTAAGCACACCGGGCTCTTCCCAAACTTGTAGGCCTCTCCTAAGTGAGGCACTCCTTCCCCTGTTACTTCCTTCTGGAGTGCTCCTCAGGGATGGCCTGAGGTCCTCCCAGGGAAAGCAAAAGTCAGTAGGTGCTCAGGCTTCACACAGGGAACCATCCCCTCTGTTTCTTAGAAAAGTTGCTACTTACTATACATCTCTTATAGACACAGCCCGATGAGAAGGGTGGGGATGTGGAGGGTTGGCACCCAGCTTGGGCTCCAGGAAGCAACACCCTCCTGGAACTGCAGACTTCTCTAACCCCATTTTCTCTATAGGGTTACCATTCTCGGGCCCAGCTACCCACCCTGCAGGTATAATGAACCACCCACGTTGAACCAAGAATATAGATGTTCCTGAGAAGACTGCAGGCCTCCTGCTGAGTTGTATAGGGGGAGGATAAATAACGGGGCATAGCCTGACCTGAGAGAGAGTAGTCTGTGCTGGTCATCCTCATGGCTGGGGTGTAGGAGACACGAGGAGCCAAGTCACGGCCTTTTTCTTTCTGCCGCCTCCGTCGCCAGGCAAACAGGCCCAGCAACACCACAACCAGGAACAACAGGAGGATGATGCCCGTGACAGCACCCACTGAGTGCCGCTCTGCTCCCAAAGCTGGACTGATCTTGGTGTAGGGATTCAGTTCATCCATCATGAGGGCAGCTGTGGGCACAGGGAGGCCTGATTCCAGTTTACTCCCTGGCTTTGCCCCTTCACCCCCGCCTAATCTCAACCCTCACAGTGCCCACATTTCTCCTAGTGCCAGGAAGATCAAGTCCCAGGGTCACAAGAAGAAAATGTAATTTAAGTGTGAAGCAAAATAAATGCTTACTGAATATTTACTCAGGTACACACATGAATTAAAGTTATTTTACCATTGTGTCAAGTCTACAAAAAAGGAATTATTTACCTTTTCCACACAGTTGAAAAAAATAAACTGAGTCACCAAGGTTAGGTAACTTGTCTAAGTTCACCCAACCAGTAACTTAGTCAGGAAAAACTGGCTTCAGCTATTCTTCCTGCTTCCCAGCTATGTGATTAAAATGTCCATGGGAACAGTAACCCCAATGTCCCCAGGGAGTCATAAGCACCAAATGATAGACTGGCCTTGACAGCTGGGAGCTCTGTGACTGCCTGTTACTGCCCCAAGACACAACTCTTGATTATACATGTGTGGTTGGGTCCCTGAGACTGCTCTGGTGAGGGTTTCCTCTCCAGCTAGGCAGCATCTGGACCTCTCCCTGGCTCTCTGCCGCTGCCTGGAGAGAGCTGACTATCACTCTAGGGAGGAAAATGCTGCATTTTTGCCTCAACTGCATGGCTTCAGACTGCCAAGTAAGTTTGTCTGACATGGGTAATTGAGAGCCTGTTTTCTGCTCCCATCTTCTAGAACCTACAATAACCTCCCAAGCCTACAAAACTTTACAAAGAGATTTTTACATGCACAAAGCCACCATGTACACAGTGCTCATATGTGCCAGGTGTGCGTGCGCCAAGGCCTTCCTTGATCCCCTCAGATGTACCGTGGATGTTGCCAAGGTGTAGATATAGAGTTCAGTTGAGCCCTTTGGACAAAGGTTAACATCTCCTCAATTGAATGTGGAGTAAAAGGCCCAGCAAAGGAAATGACCTGCCCAGAGACACCTAGCAGGGAGTGGCAGAAGTCAAACCTGGCACATTCCAGTTTAGCCTGATTGGCCTTCCCAGCACTAGCCCACGGGAAACTCCCAGAGGATATGCATGGAGAAGTGGTGAGGTGAGGCTCCCAACTATGAATAAAAGGTAGCGTCATAAACCTCAACTGGTCTGGTTAGAACTCCAAAGCCACCAATGATTTTGGGCCCTTTCCACCCCTGTCCAGACATTCTGCCACCTGTATGTTACCTTGGTCACACCTGATTCCTTTGAATCCGGGGCTGCAGTAACAGGTACCAGTGACATGGTCACAAGTGGCATTGTTCATGCACTCACATAGCTGCTGACACCCATATCCAAAGGTTCCGGGGGCACATCCTATATGGTATGCAGAGTGCAAGTAAACAGTGAGACACAGCCACACTCACGCCCCTCCCACTCCAGGTGGGGAAGCCTGTGGCAACAGGACAATTGTATCCCACCCTCAATGAAGCCTTTTGAACTGGAGTGCCTGTTGTGTATCACCCTGAGTCAGGGCATGTGGGCACAGGAGCAGGCAGCCTCACCTGCCTCTCCCTCCTGAACTCATTTAAAGAACCAGAAAATCCTGCCTACCACACCCTTGCCCTGTCTGAAGTGGCGAGAGATACTGTGACCATGAGTGTGTAAAGTCTTTCTCAGAAGTTGTCCTCAAAGTCTAAAGTTCAGGAGCTGAGGTATCCTGGATGGGAGTGGGGGTTGAAGGAAGCAGCTTCCCCTGCAATAGGCAGAAGCCCAGCCCAAATACCAGGAACAGGGTTGGGGCTGCTTACTCTGTTCACAGTGGCGCCCGGTGAAGCCTGTTCGACAGGTGCATTTCCCAGTGATGTGGTCACAGCTGGCTCCATTCTGACACTGGCATATGTGCCCACAATCCTTCCCAAAAAATGCTGCAGGGCAACCTGCAACAAGACCACAGATCACAGTGGCCACGGACTCAGGGAAACTGCAGAGATGTTGCTGGGACCATACTTGTCTGCTGCTTCCTCCGCAGCACGGGATAAAGGCTAGTGAGCCCCTCAGAGCCATCTGTACCCACTGAATCTTGGCCTAAAGGGGTGGAGGGTAGGGGCAAGGTAATCCATGCAGCTAGGGCCTCAGCAGCAGAGGACACGCTCTGGTCTCTTGGTTGTACAACCCTGAGATTTCTTCCCCATGGTCCAAGGGCCTGATCTTGTTGATTGTTGAGGTACCCTATAGCCTTGACCTTTCAAGACTTTGGATGATCCTGAGGTATGACTGGTCCTGGGACCAGCCTCTTCCCCCCGCCCCCCCCCCCTTTACAAGCCAAGACTATTCACAAAGTGACCAGTAGGCCGCAGCATATGACTGGGAGTGGCTAGTAGGCTGGGAGGCAGGGCTTACGCTGCGTGCAGAAGAGTCCAGTCCAGCCAGGGGTGCAGTGGCAGGCCCCATCCTCGGCGCTGCAGCTCGCCCCGTTGTGGCAGCTGCATGTATGGAAGCAGGCAGAGCCCCAGAACCCAGATGGGCAGGCTGTGGGGGGTGGATGGGATGCAGAGGGGGAGGGCAGAGAGGAGCAGGAGGGAAGGGGGGAGGCGAGTACATGTCAGAGCCAGGACACCTGATGGACCCAGAAGGGCATCTTTCTTGGCCTTCGGGGCGGGACTTGCTGCGCTATTCTCAGAATCCCTCAGGTCACCTCTTGGCCTCATCCACTAGGATTGCTATGAGGCCCAGATTCTTGTCTACTCAATCTTGGGTGATTAAAGCAGCCTTGCACCTCCATTTTTAGGGGGACTGACAGGGATAGAGGTGAAGTACCACTGGGGATACTGACTTGTCCACAAGTGGCAGGGACTGTCTCCTCTTTGGGTTCTTGTGATGTTTAAGGATGGAGCCTGTGTCTCCCACCAGAATGGAACTGCCCCTAAGTCTAGCCATTTAACTGGGACCTCCTTACAGATACTGACTTTGTCTTACACATCAGACAGGGAGCTCCATAGGGCTAGGACCCCTTTGTATCAGGCTGTTACATCCTGTTCAGGCTTAGGATGTTTAGGACATTATTCATAGGGGGATCCATCCCACAAGGTGCTCCCATTTTTCTAGGGGTGGCTGCCCTAGCCTAGTCACTCACAAACTCCAACATGCCAGCCTTGTTCCCTCCTCCCCATCTCTATGCTCCTTCTACACACAGATGCTAATGGAGTGTGAATTCTTAGGATTCCCGGCATTGATGGCACTGACAATACCGAAGTCTTTAATATCTGCAGTAACAATATCCATGGTCAGTACCAGTAACTCAACAAGTTCACTGTTTCACTAAATGGGACTTTCAGGGTCGGGGAACAGTGACTTGGCTCAATGGGTAAAGGCACTTACTACCCAAACCTGGTGAGCCTGAGTTTGATCCCTGGGACCCATATAAAAGTGGAAGAAGAGAAGTGATGCTATAGAGCTGGCCTCTCACCTCCACATACATGCTGTGGCACTTGGACACACACCATACACACAGAAATAATGCAAGTAAATAAATGGGTCTTGGGTAGATGTTCTTGTCTCCAGGAGAGTTCAGCCCTGTGGGTGGAGGCACCGTGACAGAGAGAGGAACAGTTGTGGGGTCACAGCTTACCCTGTGAGCAGTCCTTGCCGATCCACCCAGGGAAGCACTGACAGGAGCCATCGATGGGGCTGCAGGTCCCGTTGTTGGCACAGGAACAGAGCTGGGCACAATCCTGCCCAAAGTGTCCTCCAGCACACACTGTGGGCACAGGGAAGCCTGGCATCTGCCTTCTTTCCCAGGCTCTAAGAGCCACCACCCACACAGCTGTACCCCAAGTGGTTCCTATGCCACAGCCATGACCTGGGTATGATCTGGAGGAGAACCAACAGCTACAGTGGCAGATGGTCCTCCATCACATAGAGTGAGTGTCCCTTGTCCTACAGCAGCACCCCAAGAGGCCCTGTTCTGATTCCTTTGACAGGGACAGGTTGAGGCACACAGGGGAGACATCACTTGTCCTGGGTCTCACAGATAGAAAGTGGTAAGATGGGGTGGCATCTCTGGACTCTTAGTCCAATGCTCCTACACTACCTCCCTGGCTTATCCTTGACTGCCCTCCTAGACACATGGGTTACTGGACCACACACCTCCTTCTAAGGGTATCCAGGCCTTTCTGCTGTGCTTTTCCTATGACTAGTGCTTTCTAAATTCCTCTGACCCTCAAGTCCCACTATGGATGTTCTGCCTATAGGACTCACCTACCTGGAACAGTAAGATGGAGCAAGCCTTAAAATACTGACATCCTTGTCAGCTACCTTGGCGTTCCCCAGCAGCCTGCTTTTGGATCTTTCTGTTTTTTTTTTTTAAGCACAATGTATATCCTTTCCAAGTCACTTGGGGTTTTTATTGTGTTTGATCTTCCTCCCTAGCTGGTTCACCTATCTTCTCCCTTCTGGGTGGCTGTGTCCCTATTTGAGGCTGCAAGTAGCTTCTTCCTTGAACATTCTTTTTTTTTTTTTTTCCTTGAACATTCTTATTACTGAGACTTAACAGCTGTTTCAGGCCAAGCCTGAGTCCTTCCCTTCCTGGTGTCCCCTACAATGCTTGGAGAGACAGCAGACATTCAGGCCACCAGGACCAAACATCACCTCTCTCCCTGGTCCCCTGGCCTAAACTTTGCAAGGGCAGACAATGTGGTCTCATTTTCTATTGTATCTGACTGTCCAGTGAACACTGAGGAAATAGGCCTTGGGAGTCTCAGCATTCTAGAAGGTTCTACTACTGTGATCATCAGAGGACCAGGAATAGATTTTGTAAATATTTATTTATATGTATCTGTGTGCAGGCATGTGCACATGCGAACAGGTGCCTGTGGCGGCCAGAAGAGGACATCAGAGACCTTGGAGGTAAAGTTAGAGGCAATTGTAAGCTGCCTGACATGCGTCCTAGAAAGTGAACTCAGATCCTCTGCAAGAGCAGCTAGCTTTCTTACCCATTGAGCCATCTTTTCGGCCCCCATGGAATAGGTATTGATTTTTTGGAGGAAAGTGGTTTCCTTTGACTTAGGTCTCAAACCAGGGAAGCCATCACTTCCCTTCCTCCACTCTGCCTCCCGTTGCCAGCTCTTCCCTAGCCTGACTGTGGGCACCAGGTAGCCAGAATGTGCATGTAGTCTCTACCTCTGTGAACATGGCTCGTGGTTGGGGCAGATGATAAAGGCAGGTGGACCCGACTCTGCCTGAGGCTTTGGAATTTGGGTCCTCGATTTGTTATGCCTTCAGCAAACACATGACATTTACATTTACACCAGAAACTGATCAAAATGTCTCACCAAGACTAATATTACTTTCACTTAATCTTGACAATGTCTTCATCATTGCTCCCTATCACTGAATTCCCCCTGACACATAGGGAGAGGTTTAAGCTGTCTGTCTGAGGTTACACAGCAAAGAAATTCTACTGTTTCTTCGCTGAGGACAGTTTAACAAAGCCCTTCATGTCTCACCCCACCCCCTAGATCTGTTTCCTCATCAAAACAGGGACAGGAGTCCCCACTCAGGCTTCTGTAGCTGCAGGTAGGCGGTTGATGGGTGGCTCTGTGCTGCCCTTCCCAGGTGAGTCTGCCCTGTTTGCTGCTCAGGCTCCACCCTCTGCTTCCGAAACTGCCTGTTGCTCCACCTCCTCCCTGTCTCTGGGAAATGCTTTATTCTGAGGATCCAGTTTGAGCCCCATCATTCCTTGTACCCCCCTGTGTTGGCTGAGGCAAAGGACTATCTACCAGCTTGGTGGGGAGTAGGTGCTGGAGCCGATCCACCAGTTTTCACCCTACAACTAAACTGCTCTAACAAGGCAATCTTCCCTTTGAAGTCTTCCCCCTCCACAAGGCGGACAAATTCACCCGCAGAGCCGCTAATGTGATCAGTCTAACGCATTAATTGCAAGACTTCTTAGCTGAATCAAGAGTCAGGCATGGGAAGGGAAGGAGGGGGCCAGTGAAAAGAAAACATTGGGTTATATTTAATCTATGTTTAATGATTCTGGGGAAGCACTGTCCATAATTTGTAACTCACTGGAAAGCCAGTCATTAGAAAGTGTCAGTTCAATTTTTTACAAGGTTTGAGACGTAACCAGAGCAGTTGCCATTAATAGCCAACTCCATTAGATCTATATGTGGAAAAGACTCATTAGGCCAGCGGGCAATAAATCAGACGGCTTGGGCTGCGAGGGTTCCTTCTTGGGCTTCGGAGCTCCTAATTTAGACGGGGCCCGGTTCTATTGACGGCTGGGTCTCCTATGTTTAATAAATAAACCTCAGCCTGTCAGGTGGTGATTAAACCATCCTAGGAGGGTTACAAGCAAATGAAACTGTCACATATGTTTCCCTGGGGTCCAAACTTCTTATGACCTCAACACATCATGGAGTCAAACTTCTATTCGCGCATATTAAAAATAGCCCAGCTCAGCGGTGATGATGTATCAAAAGAATGGTTTCCCCTGGAGGTGGTGAGCTCTTCATCAAGAGAAAGAAGTATTTAAGAACAGGCCAGGTGAGGTTCTTGCCTAGGTGACTTTGAAGTTGCCTTTAGCTCTAAGTTCACATTATTCTCAAATGTCTTCACTCTCACTGACTATAGTGTAAATTCTGCAAGCTAGCGTTTAAGCAAAGCCATGTCCTAAGCCATTCTGAGTAATCCCGAGCCTGCCTTCCTAGCCCACTCCCCATCTCTAGTTGCTGCATCTTCCACCCATTCCCTGCTGCTGTAGACTAACAGGCCCAGGTTCTGTTATCCCAAAGTCCTGCAGAATCCCTCTCCAACTGTCACACTGCCCTAGGCTTCAGGCGCCTCGCAGGGAGTTGTGGATGGTAGATGCTGGGACCAGCTATTATCTTCCCATGGTGGCTAATGTGGAGGGATTTTTGACAATAGTGTTGGAATTTGCCATAGCAGAAATGTTTATGTCATGGAACCCTGTAAATGCTGCAAGTCAGGTGCTTACCCTCAGAAAACTAGCTCGCTGGGGAGTACTACTGCTTGGCATTCCATACAGCCCTAGCTCAGGGCCACTCTGGTGTACCAATGCTCATTTCATGCTCCTACCTTTTGTTTGCTTGTTATGTATTTGGAGACAGGGTCTCATGTAGCCCAGGTTATCCCCATGCTCCCTATGTAGCTAAGGATTACCTTGGACCTCTCCATCCTTCTGCCTCTACTTCCTGAGGGCTGGGCTTATGGATAGATGATACCACACCCAGCTTATGTAGTGCTTGAGATGGGTCACATGCACTCTAGACAAGCATTCTTCCAACTGTACTACCTCCTTAGGCCTGGTTTTGGTTTTCTGAGGCAGGTTAAGTAGCCCAGGCTGTCCCTGCATACATAATCCTCTGTCTCAGCCTCCCAAGTTCTGGGACCACATGGGTATGTACTACCATGCCTGGCTCGTCTTCCGCCTTTCTTTTTAGAAGAATACTGGAGTCTGCATTTGTTTCTGCCACTCGCTAGCTGCGAGACCGTAGACATGGCATTTAGCTTCTTTGAGCCCGTGCCTTTTAGCAGCACAGTTACTTCTTCTCATTTCACCTATGTGCTGCTCAGTTCCCAACAGTGTAGGAAGAGAACCCCTGGACCCTCCCTGCTTTCTGCCCCTTGGTTCCCTGCCCTGGCCTTCCCACCACTTGAGGGTACCTTGGTTGCACAAGGCTCCAGAGAATCCTGGCAGGCACTCACAGATGCCACTGACATGGTGGCAGGGCCCGTTGCTGTGCACGCAGAGAGGACAAGACTGGGTGCAGCCATAGCCGTAGAACCCTGGTGGGCAGACTGAGGGTGTTGGAGGGGAGATGGTGGTTAAAGCTTGTAGGGAACAACTGGCCTAGTCACCTCTTTGGTCCCCCATCCCAGTGAAGCGAGACTCCTTAAAAATAGGGAGTCTGGGATCCCCACACTTGGAGGTCCATATCTTTTGAAGAGAAGAACTGGTGGCTACTCCTGATTCTACCGAGAGGCTGAGCCCTGAACTTGGGGACAGAACAGCCAGTATAGGGGAGGAAGGCACAAAATGGGGAGCAGCCTGGCTCCCAGAGGCCAGCCTTCTACAGTCTAGCACTGCTTCTGACTGGAAGGCGCTGAGTGGATGGGAAATTAGAAATCCTTGGGGTGAGGGCCTAGCCTTACTTCTCTGACATAAGGGTCCTCGGAAGCCAGGGGCACACTCGCATCTCCCATCCTCTGGGGAGCAGGAGCCTCCGTTCTCACAGCTGCAGGGCACTGAGCAGTTGGGGCCCCAGCGACCTGGGGGGCACGTGCTGTCACAGCGGATGCCTGTGAACCAAACACAGAGGCAGATCAGCGGTAGGGGATGAGGGCAGGAGGGAGATGGGGATGACGGGGAGGGCTTCTGAGAGGAGAGATGCCCTTCGAGTCCTCAGAAATGAAAGGAACTGGCCAGGCACAGGCAGTCGCTCTGAGCGACGACAGAAGGCTGGATAGCTTGGACTTGAACACGGCACAATGGCAGACCCCTGGCAGGCTCGATGAGCCCAGCAAGAGAGGAGCTGGTGGCACCAGATAAAGAAGGCTGCCTCCACCTTCATAGCTAAGCTGGCATCAAGGGCATGTCGGGCCAGTGAGATGGCTCATCTCAGGTCAGAGTTCTTGGTGCGAAAGCCTGGTGGCCTGAGTTCCATTTCTGAAATCCATATAAAAATGTAAGGAGAGAAACGATTCCAAAGTTGGCCTCTGACCTCCACTGTGGCACAAGCAACCCCACTCTATCATACTGATGCAGTCATTCATGATCTCTATCAAATTTGCTTTTAATTTAAAAAGAAATACAAGGTCATACAAGGTCATCCTCAGCTGTGTGTAGAAAGTTCAAGGCCAGCCAGGGCTGTACGAGAGAAACAGAAAATATGTGTATGCATATACACACTTTATAACACATAATCACATATATAAAAGAAACCAAAACTGCTTTCTGTACCTCAAACATGCTGATAACTGACCCTTGATTTGACAAACAGCAACCTAAGGGGAAACGGATGGAATAGCTCAGTAAAAAAGGGAGCAAGATCTACAGTTCCTCTGTGCTCAAAGAATATTTGAGCTGGGCTGATTTCAGCCTGGAGGCTAAGGAGGAATTTTAAAAAGCCAGGGTGGGGATTCCTTCCAGGCAGAGTGGCATCCTGATATGTGTGTGCTAGGTGATTGGAGCAGGCCCAGGAGACCAGCCAGTCTTTGAAAGGTGAGCTTCAGAGGCTCCAGGCAGCGCAGGATCAGTCTAAAAGTCAAGTCTGCCTTGTTAGAAGGACAGGGACTAAGAAAGAGCAACAGGAGGGAAGAAGACCCAGCAAACAGTCAAGCCTTTGAGGCTCTCCCGGCCTACCTGAAGGAGAGGGAGGGAACATGGGTGAGTCAGTCAGGGTGGCGAGACAGGGAGGGGTGCTGCTGGCCTCCTCCCCCACTGCTGGGAATAACCTCCCTTTTTGTGCCTTGCCTTGCATTTTGACCTGCTGGGGGGTATGGAGGGTTTCAGGTATCACTTCCTGAAAAATGGGTAGTGGCTTCTGCCAGGGAGCATGTGGCAGGTGTGTCATTTCCCACACTCCCTTGCTGATAGCTTCTCCCATGGAGTTTCAGGGGGTTGAAAGGCAGACCGGGGAATGTGGGGTGATTATAATTGAAGCTTGGGAAAGGTTTAAAGCAGTTTAAAGATTTTGGGTACCTCTTCCAGTCTCCCCTTTATAGCTGTGGTTGACCCTCTGTATTCGTGAAAGAAACCAATATCCAAGGATGATCATATAATCTATGCAGCCTCCTGTACATGTCCATGTTGTTCATCTGGGACCAAGGATGACCTTAAAGCTCTGATGCTCCTGTCTCCACCTCCCCAGTGCTAGGATTGCTGGCATGCATCACCATGCCTGGTTTTGTGCTGGGCTGGGAATGAAACTCAGGGCTCTGTGCATGCCAGGTGAGTATTCTACCAACCAAGTTACAGCCTTTCCCACATCCTTTATGTCATGTGGAGACAACTTATAATACAGAATACGGTGCAGGGCTGGAGAGATGGCTCAGAGGTTAAAAGCGACCATCTGTAACTTGTTCCAACTTCAGAAAGTGGAGACCAGATTCCACAGAACAAACTGGCTGGTGAGACTAGTCACGTGGGTGAGCTCTGATTCAATTGAGAGACCCTGTCTCAGTGAATAAGATGGAAGAGCAATTGGGGACAATTTCTGACATCAGCCCCAGGCCTCTGTGTGCATATGCACACACATGCATCCTCCCCACATACGTGCCCATACACGCATACATGTATATCTCATATTCTTATTTGCAGTCTCGTTCTCTCTCTGGAGGAGGTGCTCCGAGCTTTAGTTTTCAGGAGCCCCTCTCCATGTACTAATGGGCAGTCACCCAGCAGCAAGCCCTTCTCTGGGAAGCCTTCCTATGTGTTTGCCCAAGAGTCCAAACAGCTGCAACTTCCTGTTACAACTGTTTTATATACCTAGCTCCTACCTCCCCTGCCAGGAACCAGAAGGGGGCAATGGCATCCTGAAATCTTCCCTGCTGACCTAGTTGCTCTTCACAGCAGAGACACCCCACCTGGGCATCTTTGTAATGCTGAAGTTTCAGACGATCAAATTCATCCTTGGCTACTTAGCAAGTTTGAGCCAATCTGGGCTACATGACAGATAACTTATTAAGTGAATACTCTCTCCCCAGACTGTGTCCTGGGCTTCCCCGCGTGTTGACACTAATATTGTGACACCTCCTTAGCTGTAGTAGAAGAGCCAGAGTAGATGTCTAAACTCTCCGTATGTGGTCAAACCGGATGACGTTCTTCAATGGATTTCAAGAAGCATTTTTGTGAGCACCTATTATGTTCAAGGCAAGGTAAATTAGCTATGGTAGAACTATTATCATAAGGGGGCAGAGTGTAAGCCCAGGCCAGGTGGGGAGGTGAGCAGGGTTTCTGGGGAGGAAACAGAGGGGTGCTCACTGTATGGCCCAGTTTCTGCCCTCACCCTCCCTGTCTTTCCTGGCCTTCCTCATGACATCTGAGGACATCTCACATGTTTGAGAAGCCTCAGCCCACCTTTGGAGAAATGGGCTGTGGAGCCAGCGGAGGCCTTGCTGAGACTGTCCATCAAAGCCAGGTTTGTAAGCATCGTCATTAAAGTAGGTGTCGTTAAAATCATATCAGCTCTGTCAAAATTAGGGCAATGAAGATTTCAGGTAGATTTCCACTGGGCTGTAGCTGACAGCGTGGGGGGCAGAGAGGAGGCTGGAACCTTGATGCACATTGAGGGGTAGCTGGCAGGGCAAGCGAACCTCGACCTGGCAGAATGTAGAGGGACATCCCTGGCCTTTGGCTCCCAGAATAAAGATGGGAGAATCCTGCGGAATGAATATTGGAAACTTCCCCAGCTGGAAAACAAGTGGGATCATCAGGCTGTGGTCACTGACTTGTGCACCGCTACGGAGAGCTTCCTGTACTGTGGTTTATGTCACTGGTCACGGTGCCAGGTACCGAGCAGGTAACAGTACCCATCACAGAAATTTCAAAGTAGTCCCAAGTTTCCTCACAAGGCTTCCGATTGTCTATGCTTCCTGGGTGGAGGCTTTTGGACCATGCAGAGTAGAGGACTTGCCAAGGTTTCACAAGCCCAGGTGGTCTGGCTGGGGTCCTGGCTTAGCAACCCGGTTTTCTTCTCTCAGCATGTGGCAGACAGTGGGTCAGGGGTGGGTAAGGCAGATAGATACCTTCCTAGGCCTGCTATACACACAATCACTCAAATCCGAGTCCAAGGCCCATGGTGAGGGCTACAGAGGACAGACCTGGGTCACCAGAATTCATAAACAGGGCTCTTTAGTCCTAGGCAGGTAATCATAGACAACCTTCATCTGGTGTAAGGGAGAGAGTTATCAGGGCTAGAGGTGTAACCCAGTGGCACAACACTTGTCTACCTCTTTAAATGAAGAAGAGAAAAGGATTAACTGAGTAAGATGGAGAGCAATCAAGAGGAGAGGGAGGGCAGGTGCAGAGGTGAGGAACCAGGATAGTGACCAGGGCCTGGTGGAACTTGCCCATAAACCAATCCTTGCACTTGGGAGACTGGGATAGGAGATGCAGAAAGTTCAAAGCCAGACTGGGCTAAATAGTAAGTTCCGGACTGGACATCGCTACACAATGAGATCTATCTTTAATAAAATGCATAAAGTTTACTTTGACCCAGGTGTTTGGAATGACCAAGTGAAGGAAATAGGGCAGAAAAGAGGAGCTGGGCAGGCCCACATCACAGGGGGTGGGGCCTTATGACAAGAATTCTCATGTAGCCCAGGCTAGCCTTAAACTTGCTATGTGGCCAAGGATGATCTTGAACTTCTGCTCCCCCGCCTCTCTCTCCTGAGTGCTGGGTTTATAAGTGTGGACCACTATGCCTGGCCAGGATCTTTTACATCAGTTCCATCAAATCACGAAGAGAAAGACTGGTTTGGATGGTCCCTCTGTTCACTATGTGCAAAGTGGGTTCACCTGGGCAAGATGGAAGGCCTGAGACCGACCAGGAGGTGAAGGTAGGCTAGATGAGAGACGGGTCCCCTAGCATCAACGGGCTGGAGAGAAGTGGCAGGGTTTGTCCATCTCGGACAGACGTGAAGAACTGAGATTCTGTTTTGTTGTTGTTGTTTATTTTTTTCTCCTTCAAGACAGGGTTTCTCTGTAGTTTTGGAGCCTGTCCTGGAACTAGCTCTTATAGACCAGGCTGGCCTCGAACTCACAGAGATCCGCCTGCCTCTGCCTCCCAAGTGCTGGGATTAAAGGTGTGCGCCACCACTGCCCGGCAGAACTGAGGTTCTGAAGTGCCATGCTCTCTATACACAGGCTGAGTACCTGTTGGCCCTGAAATGAACACATGTCCTGAGAACAAAGTCTCAGCATCGTATGTTTTAAATAAACATCTCTGTGCTGGGCTGAAAGGGAGCAGGTGAGGGCAGGAAGAGACTGGTAGATGAGTCATCACGAGGAGGGGAGGAAAACCAAGAACCTGGGCAGTGGCAGGGCAGAGGTTACCTGTCCATCCTGCTAGGCAGCAACAGTGGCCTGTGACAGGGTCACAGCCATCGGCATGGCTGCAATCACAACGCTCGCTACAGTTCAGCCCGAACGTGCCAGCCTGTGGGGAAGAGGGAGAGAAAAATACAATCATACCTCGGCCCCTAGAGGTCCGCACACTTCCATCAGCTCTTAGGGGGTCCAGAGGGGAGACTAGGACACAGTGAGGCTTTGTGAGTGGGTGTCAGCGGAGCTGTGAAAACGTCTCCGCAAATGATCACCTGGTTAAATTATAGGAATAGGAGAGACGGAAGTGATGATCACCCTCAGGTGTCATTCAAATTATAGATTAAAATGTACTTGGTTGTTGACAGGCATGGAGGGGAAAAGACTGCCTGTAACTCCAGCAATCAGGAGGTGGAGGCAGAAGGATTGCCATGAGTTCAAGAGATCCTCTCTCACAAAACAAAGCATATTTTGTTAATTGTGACACACCTGTCCCACACGCAGACCGAGGATTGCCTGTCTTGTCACTGGGGAAAGAAACGTATGCCCACGAGGTCTCAAGTGCCCTCCCCCACCCCCTGTCCTGTTCTCTTAATTCTCACATCAGTATTCTAGGATGGCTCCACTCAGTCTCACTTGAAAAATGGGAAGCAGCTGGACAAGCACACTCAAGGAGGCAGGGGAAACCCCACACTCAGTCTCATCAGTTGGTCTAGCAGCTTCAGGTTCAGTGATTGAGCTGGGGTTGCCGCTGAATGGCTTGGTTCCATGCCCCATCCCTAGTAGTTACAACTCAAATGCTACCTGGAAAGAGCCATTCTGCTGGTTTGGGGGCGGGGACTGGGAGTGCCCTGGCGGGGTCGATTCTGTAGCTGCCAGTCAATCTGTTCAGCTTGCAAGAGCAGCAACGGGAACCGCATTTCTGTCTAAGTGGCCATTTTATAGATGGGAAGGTTGAGGCCCAGGGTAGGAAGAGGCCACACAGGTTAACACTTCCTGACTCAGAGCTCTTCTCTATGGACCATGTAGCCCCCCCCTTCTCTGGAGAAGGCCCAAGGGACCAAGGTGGGTACTCACTGGGCAGGGCTGTTCACAGGAGTCCCCCAGCCAGCCTGGGGTACAGGCGCAGGAGCCGTCAGAAGGGCTGCAGGCTGCCCCATTGGCACAGACACAAGTCTCATTGCAGTTCAGGCCCCATGTCCCACTGGGACATGGCAGGGAGCAGTCTGGGCCCTGCCACCCTGGGGAGAGGGCAAAAGGTATCACCTCGTCATGCCCAGCACAGACAGGAGTCCTGTTGTCACGGCTGCCTAGATCGCCCTCCCTGACACAGGGTTCATGCCATTTCTGCTGCCTGGAATGGGCCTTTGGGGTGTCCCCCTCCCCGGCCATGGGTGGGGTTAGCAACATTTCTCCATTCTGAAGTCTTTCACTGCGTCTGCCTCCAGGACTGAACCCCTCCCTCCTCTGTTCCCTCAAGCAGGAGGCTACCCCTCAGGGAATGCAGAATCCTGCTTCCCAGCGCGGCCTCCAGGCAGGCTTCCTGAGGGAGACCTGCCCCCAAGACCAGAGTGGGGAAGGAGCCAGGTGCACCTTTCTCCTTGCCTCAGGCTGGACCTTCCTAAGCTTTTTCAGAGAGCACTTTTTTCTGTAGCCCAGGCTAATCCAGAACTACAGTTTCTCCCACTTCTGCATCCCACGCGCTGGTATGACAGGTGTGACCAGCATTCCCCGCGTGGGCAGGCCTTTGACAGTGGCCGTGTCTCTGTGGACCTCCAGCGTCTCCACAAAAGCTCTTTCAGTTCCCACCGGGCAAGTCTCTTGTCCAGGCTCAGGGAACTTGGTCTCCCCATTCTGTCCCGGCAGCCCATGTGGTTTTCTCTCTCTGTGCTCTCAGCAACTCCAAACCCAAGAGACTGTCCTACACCCCTGTTCTCCTGGTTCTAGCTGTGGCTCTCCTGGGCTGGAATCCGACCTGCACAGACCCTTTGACCCTGAGCGGTGCCCCTGCCTGTGACCCTGAGCTGTTGGCACACCTGAGCCTTGGGGATAGAGCGGAAGGGAAACTTACCCTCTTGGCAAGTGCAGGAGCCATCCACAGGGGAACAGGTGCCACCATTGCTACAGCTGCATACAGATGAGCAGTTGGGACCATAGGTCCCAGCAGCGCAGGGAATGGCACACACTTCTCCCTGCACAAAGAGGGCCTGGGTGTGAGATGAGGTTCCCAGTCTGACGGAGGCCGCGCAGCGCCCCTCCCAATGCCTAATGCTCTCATTCCCAGCACCTGCTCTTCTTTACAGCAGGGTCTCACTGTGTACACAGAGATCTGCTTGCCTCTGCTTGAAAATTGGTGGGGGTAATTGGGGGTGCGATGGGATTGGGGGATGTTAAAAGCGTGTACCACCTTACCTGGTTGCTTCTGTTATCTGGCAAAAGGAACTTTGCAGATGTGACAGAGGACCTTGAGACAGGGAAACTAAGGTACTTGGACCGTGGAAGCGGGCCTCTTATCTCAGAGTCTTTAAATCAAGTGATTAGAGAGGGTAGGTCAGAGGCACCTACCCTAAATCCTCCCACAAACTATAAAGATGCTGAGCTTTCTACAGCCAGCAAGAGAAGGGAGACCTTGACCCGACAGTCGCAGGACCAGATTGGCCGACAACTGGAAATGAACAAGCAGGAAACTGATCCTCCTCTAGAGCCCCAGGAGGCACTGCTGGCTCTGGGATTTCAAGTGGAGGCAGGTGCTTGAACTGGAAGAGAAGCCAGTGCTGGTTTAGGCCAGCACACAGGTGGGGATTCCTGCAGCAATTCTCTCCAGGTGGAGGAGGTCCTCCAGGCTCGACACCAGAGCTCTAGGATGGGCAAAGTCCCTGGGAACATCACCCTAAGCATCTATGTTAGGTCTCAGCAGCACAGCTTGTAACCTGGTACTGCCTATCAGTGGAACTGTCAGGGAGTGAGGGGGTTGAGAATCAGAAGGGTGGGGGTATGTGACTGGGTCTCTCGTATTACAGACTGGCCTCAAACACCTTGTAGCTGAGGATGACCTTGAACTTTGATCCTTCTGCCTCCACCTCCAGTTTGCTGAGATTACAGGCCAGTGCCAAATGAGATTTCAATCTGTTTTAGTTCTCACCAGCAAGGTACATGGAAGAGACAGCCAATCCCCACTTGTCTGTGCCTCAGAGGTCAGAGGGCACCGACAGTGGCTTTTGAGTGCTCTTTGGGGATCACGCATGGTCTCCTTTAATTCTTACCACACCTCAGATACACAAACTATTGCTTCCTAGTCTTCCCATGACAACAAAAGCAGTTACCTGAGAAAGTCATGTAATGGCCCAGACCACAGAGCTCAAAATAGCAGAGGTCTCTTTGTTCCCAGCCTGGCTAGTTAACCACATCACTTGGTGTGAACTAGCCTCTCTGGGGGCCGTTTTGGGACATGGGGATACCAAGCTAAGACAACCCTAGGTGGAGTCAGGAAAGATGACTAGGCGGACAGAAGGTAACCAGAGAGACTGCTGCATGGATAGATGGCCTCCCCCAGCTGTCAGCAAGCTCACGGGATGAAAGGACGCAGAGAATTACCTGGGAGGAGTGGACATTGCATCTCTGTCAGTCATGAACCATTTGCAGTCCAAGGATGGCAGGGCTCCTAGGAGAGCTGACTGTCTTTAAGGCCAGATTCTAAAGCGGGGCTCAGCAGAGGGCCACGGATTTCTAGCACCAGACTGGAATGAGTGCCTCTGCCCCACGGGTGGCACAACGCAAGGTATTGGCTGTGATGGTAGCTCCTGGGGTGGGGAGGATCAAGATACAGGGCAGAGGCTGGCAGTGAGGACCTCTGAGTCTTGAGGGGGGCAATGAAGGCTGCCCAGGATGCAGCTTGATGTGGGCAAGACAACGCAGCAGCACTGGCTGGGATGAGAGAGTTTACCTTGCATTCATTAGGCCTGGGGTTCGATCCCCCCATAAAGTGGGTATGGTGGTACACACCTGGGATCCCAGCACTTGTGAGGCCGGAGGATCAGAAGATCAAGGTCATCCTTTAACTACATAGTGAGTTCAAGGCCAGCCTGGGTCACAGGAGAACCTGTCTCTACCTCTGTAACAGACCCCAGCCAGATCTTAGCACAACTGATGCCATGATGGAAGTGCCATTCAGGCTGTAAAACTCAGTATGAAGACAGAACCACCTGCCAAAACTAAAACAAAGGAAACCCATTAATGTCCATAGTTATGGGGATGGCTCTAAATGTATTAACCTTGCTCTTTGGCTTTGTGGTTCCGTTTCTAGCTAACTGTTCTTGTTAACTGGAGTATGTCAACCCAGATCATGGTTTTTTTGTGCTTAAAAGCTCACCCTGAGAAAGGCTCGGGGCTACACTGGGATCTCAAACATCCAGTGTAGTCGTCACCGGCCAGCTAATAAAGGCTTTCTGTTGGCTTAAACCCATGGCGGAGCAGTCTTCTCTGGTGGATATCCCACAACGTTTCAAGAAATCAAACAAAACAAAATGTGTGGAAGGGGACAGGAAAGATGGCTTAGTAGTAAACTATGCTTGCAGCTCTTCCAAAGGACCCGAGTTCTGTTCCCAGCACCCACATCGAACATCTCAAACCACCTGTAACTTGAGCTTCAAGGCATCTGATGACATCTCTGGCCTCTGCAGCACCTGCACACATGTGGCATATACTCACACAGATGCACATACACATAAATAAAAATAATTCTTTTTCAAGATATGGTTTTTCTGTGTAACCCTGACTATGCTGGCACTCACCCTGTAGACCAGGCTGGCCTTGAATTCAGAGATCTGCCTTCCTCTGCCTCCCAAGTGCTAGGATTAAAGATTTGTGCTACCACTGCCTGACAAGAAAAATAAAATTTAAAAGCCTTTAATTAAATAATAATAATAACAATAATGAGGAATGGAGATATGGCTCTGTTACTGAATATTTTGCCTAGCATGTGCAAGGCAAATTTGTTCGCTTCTGTGGAACTGTTTATGTACTTTGGAGAATCAATTTGATTGTATTCAAGGCTAGACCTTCAGTGTTTGGAACTCTGCCAAGTCATGGCCCTGGCTAAATGTACAATTGATCCAGGTGGATTGTGTGTACACACTGGCTTCTACTGTAGGCAGAACCAGACAGCCAAGGCTCTTTCCCCGTGCTTCTCGCTCAGGTCAGCAAGTCTACAAATGTTTGCTTTGGGGTCAGGATGGAGCCATGTTCTGGACTCCAGGGCACAGGATGATCTGGGGCCCAGCCTCTGCCTATGTTTTTCTATTGTCAGCCTTTAATCCTGTCCAGTGCTCCTCAGGAAACATCTCTGGTCTCATTCACTGAAGAATACTGCAAATTTGAGGCCAGCCTGATCTACAGAGCAAGCTCTTAAAGGAAGAGGGAGGGTGTGGGAAAATCAAGGGCACATGAAGAAGGATGGGAGCCTCATTCTAGAGTCTGTTTGAAGTTTCTCACCCACTGAGAGTCAAGAATTCCATCACAAGTTACAAAACTTGCTGTGAAGATTGCCTACACAGAGTGTTCCTTTTACATAGACGTTTCATAGTGTTCCCTTTACATGGGCATTGCGGTCTCCTTCACATGTGCTTGCAAAATCTTCCTTTTACGTGGACAGTTTTTTTTTTTTTTGTTTGGTTTTGGTTTTCCAAGACAGGGTTTCTCATTAGATATGGAGCCAGCCCTGGAACTCGCAAGCAGACTGGCCTCGAACTCACAGAGATCCGCCTGCCTCTGCCTCCCTAGTGCTGGGATTAAAGGTGTGTGCCACCACTGCCTGACTAACATGGGTGTTTCAGATAAGAATGTTCCATTAGTAAGAAGCCACACTGGAGGGCTGCAGCCTGACCTTTGAGTTGAGAGTTGCTCTCTCAGCTGGAAACCTGCAATGCTCCCATTGCAGATGCAGTGTGGTCACTCTGCTTCCTGTCTGCCAAGCCGGCCTCACGCTTCTGCTGTCATGCCTTCCCCGCCATGATGGACTGTATCCCATCAGGAACTAATGAATTATCCTTTGAATGAGCAGGAGAAAGAAAGCCCAGAAGAGACCCATGGTTTTGTCACCTCTACTTTTTTTGCTGACCATACAAAATTTGTTTTCTGTAATAGTGAGTTGGAAATAATCAGGCAGTTCTCTAAAGCAAACTGAAAAACACTGAAACTTTCTGACTCTCACAAGCAAGACCACCTCGTTTATGATAAAGGCATGTGTCTTAATATCCTTGTATCTAACCTAGTACAGTACCGATTCCTTCGGTCCTTTGGTGTGTGTTTTTATATTATCATCCTGCATTCCTATCCAGTGCTCTTCAGGAGAACGCTATGGTCTCATCCACTGAAGAACAAAACCCAACTAACTACCATCACCGCCAACAACAACAAATACCCCAAATTTCTTAAAACCCTATGAACAGTGCAACTTCAGAACTCACCCAAGCCACATATATGACCACAAAGATGCTTAAGGGAGACTTTCTCTTAAGAAACACATACCCAGGGAAGTCTCAGCAGGTAGAATCACTTGCCATGTGAGCCCATCTGAGTCTGATCCTGGAACTCGCATGAATGTGCCAGGAGAAAAGAGACTCCGCAAAGTTGTCCTCTGCCCTCCACACATGCGCCGTGGTACTTGTGCACCGGCATTCATGCATACACAACAACAATGATGCATAAAAATGAATCGCAGACCACTTTCCCACCCCTGGGTGTGCACTGTTCTCATAGGGCCCTGTAGCTATCCTGGCAGGAATGGTGGTATTTTAAAGAGACATCTGTGGCCTCCCTTTGGCCATCAGACTGTTTATTGATGGAATTTTGTGAATGGAAAATTGGGACTTCCCCAGGAATCTCAGCCTGGGAGAAGGAAGAGACCGAGGCTGGATGCGGCCCAGAGGGGGAAGATGTCTCCCAGGAGGAAGTCTTACACAGCTCTGACAGTGTGACTGCCTGTAGGGAAGCAGGAGCCTAGACGATGGTGGGGGCACCCCACCCCTTGACCGTGACTGCTTAGCTGTGTGCGTGTCTAGCCTTCTAACACAAACCTCATCACCCGTCTGTTTAGTTGGCCCCCTGAGGATGGGTGACAGGGACTACACACTGAACCTGACAACTTCAGTAATGGTCTTTTGTCTCGCTTCCCTTTTATGCTCAGGCTTAATCT